CCTCAAGTTTGGACTCAGTCATAGCACATAACCTTGCTATCTAGGTTGTTTTAGTGCCTCTTAAGCTTGGCCTTAATCATATCTTTCGTTCACTTATGAGTTCTGATCAAGTCTTATCTTAGCTTTTTCGTGTAAGTCCTAGTAACATTTCTTTTTAGGCCAAGCAACCTCACGTCTTAGATGGTCTCAGTGCACCTAAGGCCTAACATTCAATCGTACCTCTCTATAGGTCTAGGTTGTCTCAATGCCCTTCAAGCTTGGACTCAATCATAGTATGCATACAACCTTGTTGCTTAGGTTGTTTTCAGTGCCTCATCCAGCTTGGACTCAGTCATAGTACATAACCTTACTACCTAGGTTGTTTCAGTGCATCTCAAGCTTAGCCTAAGGTTGTCTCAGTGCCTCTCAAGCTTAGCCTCAATTATAGCACAAAACCTTGCTGCCTAGGTTATCTTAGTGCCTTTTAAGCTTGGCTTTAATCATGGCCTTAACCTTGCACTCCATCACAGATTAACTCAGTACATCACCTTCTCAGGTGTTTTGATTCCACACACTCGCTACGTCTAAATCAAATCTTCGGCTCTGATACCAACTGATAGGGAGATATGTCACACTTAGAGCTCATGAGAGCACATCAAAAAACTCATACATATATGTTGGATACCATTTGAGCCCAAAAGCTTAGCAATTAGGTTCTTGACTCCTCTATGTATATATAGGACATCTCATTTACATTTCCTAGTGATTTGGGATTCTTTACTCATATGTAAACCATTCCAACAAAATATACTACATCGACCACCTTACATCTCACATGCATTATTACATTTATATCTATAACCTCGATTCTTCACCATCTTTAATCCAAGCTTTAACATGGCTAGAAGTGAGCAAGATCTCTTGTTAATAGAGATTGTCAACCGTAATGTCGGCTCCTTAAACTTCTCGATCAAGGTTCAAAGGTGACTCCATGATTTTCTTCAGTCAGTGAACTTGAAGTATGTGAAGTTAGGGTACCATTATCTGATAAATCATGGCATGTACCTGGCTACCATACCAGTATGGGTGCTTGGTTTTAGTGCGGAGGTGGGAAGCCTTAGTAGGGAAGAGCTGGGGAAAAAGCTATGGGAAGATGCTTGCTATGATCTTGCCACATTGCTCTCCTTTTTGGCTGTCTTTGTGTTCACGGTTTCAGTTTATTTTATGTCATGGCCTCGATCCATTTATCTGATTAATTTTGCATGCTAACGTCCTAACGTTGACCTCAAGGTGAAAATTTCATGCATGAATGTTCAACCAGACAACTATTCACGTATTTTCTAGCTATACAGGAAACAATTAAACCATTTATTTTAATTTGTCACTTAAGAAATTAATTTGCATATCCTATTACTTTTCAGGTGACTAAGGAGCAGTTTATTGACCTGGCAAGAACATCAGGGGAGTTTGACGAGGCAAGTCTTGAATTCCAGAAAAGAGTTCTGAAATCATCAGGGATTGGGGACGAAACTTACGTTCCCAAAGCGCTTATGTCTAATGAGAACTGTACAACCATGAAACAAGGTCGCCTGGAAGCCTCAACTGTAATGTTTGGGGCACTCGATGAGCTCTTTGAGAAGACCAGGATTCGACCCAAGGACGTTGGTGTCCTTGTTGTGAACTGCAGCATCTTCAATCCAACTCCATCTCTCTCTGCAATGATCATCAACCACTATAAAATGAGAGGCAACATTTCGAGCTACAATCTTGGTGGGATGGGCCGCAGTGCTGGGGTCATAGCGGTGGACTTGGCCCAAGACATGTTGCAAGCAAACCCAAACAACTATGCTGTTATTGTAAGCACCAACATGGTGAGCTACAATTGGTACCCTGGCCGGGATCGGTCCATGCTTGATCCAAATTGTTTTTTCACGGTGGGATGCTCCGCCGTCCTTTTGTCCAACCGGCGTCTTAACTACCGGCCTGCCAAGTACCGTCTCGAACACCTTATCCGGACACATAAAGGTGCCGATGACCGCGGCTTCAGGTTTTTTCATTGTGTTCTCCGAAAATTCTCATTGTTTACCTGTTTGTGTACATCAGTTTATGTGGGCAACGATTCAACTTCCATTCCAATCAAATAAATTTTAATTTATGATAGTAGAATACCAATCTATATTTATTAAATCCATATTCCATATATATGAACTACTACATCACATACCCGCGTTCAAAGACTCAACTCTATTCGTTTGTAATTTAAAAAAAAAACTCTTTTCCTTTATGATTCCTTTTTCCTCAAACTACCCAACTAATTTTCTAGCCATGAAAATGACACCCTGGTCTTCGTGAAGGTGGTCCATGGATTTTGAAGCCATGAGGCTGTGGCACAAGACAGAGACATTCAATAGCCTAGGATGGGTCCATAGATATAGTAATATATCTTATATATTAATTAATCACTTGATGCCTATGAGACCAACGACCCACTTCTGCCGATGGCTATTCTATTTGTGTAAGGAAATTTAGCAATAGAACCAAAATACCATTGCAATTAATATTCAAGCAGTCAACAGTTATTTGGTCAATATTCAATTTTTAATTTTAATTATCAGTGTTCAGAAGACAACCAATTAAAATAAAAAATATAGTTGGAACTCAAGTAACGGCTTTAAAATTTTTGGCCATATCTCAGCCCAAGTTCACTCTTAAACTCTTCCTTAAATTTATGTTTTATAAGCTCTTAATCACCACCAAATAAATTTATTTTGAAATTGAATCATTGAATTTATATAAAATAAAATTTTAACTTGAATTTAGAATATCTCTATCCAAAGTTTGGGTATTGCGGTTTCCTAGTTTGTTTTATTTTTTTGGTAAATTATCGATCAGGGTCTGTCTACCAGGAGGAAGATGAATAGGGTTTTAAGGGGCTTAAGGTCAGCGAAGATCTAATGGAAATTGGTGGAGATGCCGTCAAAATCAACATCACCACATTGTGGCCTCTGGTGCTACCCTTTTTCGACCAACTTCTCTTCTTTGCTACATTGGTTTGGAGGCACTTTTGTGGTGGGGATAATTCCAAAACATCATTATCACCATCGTCAAAGCCATACATCCCAGACTACAAACTTGCATTCGAACACTTTTGCGTGCATGCTGCCAGCAAGACAGTGCTCGATCAGCTGCAAAAGAACCTTGAGCTCAGTAAGAAGAACATGGAAGCCTCCAGGATGAACCTGCGCTTCTTTGGTAACACTTCTAGCAGCAGCATGTGGTATGAATTGGCATATTTGGAAGAAAGGGTTAAAAGAGGAGACAGGATTTGGCAGATTGCCTTCGGTGCAGGGTTCAAGTGCAACAGTGTGGCTTGGCGTTCCATGCGCCGGGTGAGGAAGCCTTCCAGGAATAATCCCTGGCTTGACTGCATTGACAGAATTAAATTGTGTCAAGTTTTGGGTGATAATAATGGGTTTTTCGTCTTCTCTTGTTTACTTATTTTTCAGTCAACTTTGTTCACATGGAATATATAGGGCAAGCATTGGAAAGTTGGCATATGGAATGGTTTTGAAACATTTCTCGATAAATTATTTGTATGAAAATTTTGCTGAATTATAGTTAGTGGCTAAAAGCCTAAAGACTGATAGTGGTTTCTTCGCTTTTGTTCAACCTGTCAAGTAAGGTCTTCTCACATGATTTTTTGGATTTTTACTTTAAAATGCAAAATCTTTACGGTGCTTTGCAGCTTGGCCCCCTTACATGGACTTAATTATCAGTTATCACTTATGGCTTAATGGCCAAGGCCTTGAACTGAAGGAGATGGTAAACCGCTTAATTGGGCAAAGACTGCAAAGTATCTCAACGCGCATGACAGGGCTTCAGAGCTAGATTTGTTTCAACGAAACCAATGATGAAAGAGCAGTAGAATAACATAAGGATACTTTCACATTGGACTGGACTGAGGTGGAATAATAAACTAAAGTAAACTGATCATTACATCATTGTCAATAATAAGACATGCAGTTGAAATCGTGTGGTCAGCCATGCATGCATGAACTGATCTGATAATTTGGCAAATACATAGTAGCTTAATACTATCATATGCATGTTTCCTTCCTGGCTTTGACGCTTGCCCCTCTGCATGGCTGCTTTTTGACAATTGGACCATCGCTTCTAAAGCTTTGCTTAGCTGCCTCTATCCCATTCCCATCCTTGTTTTCTTTCTTGTTAATTAGAGTTAATTTCTTTCTTTTCCATTTGTCTACACCAGAGAGAAGAAGACTCCTTCCTTTTTTATTGAAATTAATTTTCTTTCTTTCTCAGATTTATGAGATATGGAGATTAAAAGACTTCGCACCATTTTTGTCAATCAAATTATTAATATATCTCAACATATATATAACATAAATATAACATAAACATTAAATAAAGTCAATTCAGCTAAACTCACAAATTATGGAATTCAAATTTGAGATTAAAGATTTTATCTTCTCTTATCATTTAGACGAAACCAAAGCAAACCACATGTATATATTTAGCTGGTATATTACATTAGAGTCACCTATTTAGGAAAAAAAATAAAAACAAAAAATGTTTTTTTATAAGTTGTAATTTCATTTATTCGAAGTTTGGTGAATTTTGCTGCAATACAACAATCTAACAATCTTTACACAAGCAATCATAGGATATTAGTTCTGATAGCAGTCTTTTTTTAAAATAGCAGCATTGAGGTTACAAGCATCACATAATTCTTTATTAACTGAGTTAGCAGCAATCTGGTGTAACCCATGCAATATAATCGAGCAATAAAAAAAAAATGTTAGGATCACTGTTAATTACTTATTAGTTACGATTATATAATTGATAATAGAGATTATATTACATTTTAAATGGTATTGATTTTGAAATATATATATATATATGTGTATATGTTTGTATGTATGTCTATATCAAACTGCATTTTGAATAATTATGATTTGGGTTATCAAGGGGAAGAAAATTGCCTTTGCCTGGAATGAAGATATATATATGGAAAGGCATGCACCTGTAAAACTAGAAGAAGACAAAAATTAAAAGATTGTTGATATTGGAAAACAGGTAGAGGAAAAAGCGAACTCATCTCTTGGTACATATTATTTTCCTCAATGACCTGCATGCCACCTTTTACATATCTGCAAGCCTTATTATTAGCTTATAAGATTTCTAAAATGCCACCAGTAAAAGAGGGAAGAAAGGGACTGAATTAAAATGAAAACAAAAGGTGAGCCAATGCCAAAGATTTGATCAATTAAAAACATAATCAATCCTTGTCAAGCCAGCCACTCCCCATCCATTCCTTCAATTTCTCCAATGTCCATACTGTGAATCACAAACAAAAATCAAATGACAAAAAGAAAGTGAACTCATGAAATCTCAAAAACTTTATACGTTAGACTACGCCTGAAATGAACCCAACTTCTACAAAAAATGCTCGTGTCCCAAACTTAAATTGGCCGGCTCTTTCAGCATTGAGTTTGGGTGAGGATATAAGTGGCTTCTATTGCATCGATCGAGCCTTATAATTAAGTTTAACAGAGGTAAATTTTTTACTCTTTTCTTGCTCAGAAATTGCAACCTGCCTATGAAAATGAGGGAAATTACTGAATTTAACATATTTTCATTGCTCAATTGAATCCAATTGAGAGAATTTCAAGTAATTCTAGTCCTCCTATTCAATCCAATTGAACTCTGATGGATTTACCAAAATATTTTGACCTTTTATAATAGTTAGATTGCAGATCAACATTATACTAAATTTCCATTATATGAAAGGGCATGACATGGGAAACATTTCTATCGATCCTTTCTGAAATTTGGATTCTTACCAAGGTAAGGCAGGATCCTGGAAGCAGTAATTAGGGCAAACATCATTGAAATGCTGCTGCAAGCAGCTGTCATTTGTATTCAACCAGGCAGGAAATTCCAAGACTTGATCAAATGGTTGGGACCCATCATCCTCAGCTTTCAGTTCAGGCCCAAGTTCCACAGTCTTCAAGAACTTGAACCACCATGCTGATGTTACCAAATTCATAGTGTCATTCCACTCCATTTGATGCTGCTCTCCTAATGATCTGATCTCTGCTATTTCTTCATCATCCATAGCTTGATGCAGGCCTCCCCCACCGTAGGATTCAGCTAAATCAGCCATAGCTGTAGGCCCCACTTCATGTGATAGTGCAACTGAAGGAACTTTTTCGGTTAAAACGGATAGAGTTGGTGAAGATGAAGATGATGAAGATGAGGAAGAGTAGATTGATGGCTTGTTGCTCTTATGGTAAAGGCTTGTGTCTATGTTGTTGAAATCATGAAAGTTAAGGTTTAGGCCTAAGGTTTGGTTTGGTAGAGTGAAGTTCGAAGTATCTGTGGCATATGGAAGAGGAATCGGAGAAGCAGGCCAAGAATATGGATTTGGAGGAGGGTAATGTTGGGAGAAAGATGAATAGGAAAAATTGTCTAAATTATGAGCAGAGAAGTTGCTTGTGCTTGATGGGTGTTTTCTAGGATTTCTCCTACACTTTGTCTTTGATTTTTGTTCAAAAGGTGGTGAAGATGAAAGATGAGAGGGCTGTGCTAATTGCTGTTGTTGTAGCTCTTGTTGTTGCTGCTCATTCGCTTTTTTCATGGCAGCTCTGTGGAACTTAAGTGCAGTGACAATTTCTCTCCTAGCCTCAGCCATGTTTAGCAACCTTTCTTGGTAACGCCTGCTGGTGTGAAGTCTCCTCCTGACCTGTTTCTTATGTTGTTGAGGTGGTTGGGGTTGCCGGATCTGTGATGTTTCAATAAAACCTTCACCAAATTTGGTCAAATTTTGGCCAATAAAACCATCAGCATCAGCAGAGTCAGGGTCTTTGGGGTTCATGGGGTCTTTGGTTCTGGAAGAGGTCAGTTGTTTAACAAGGCTACGGATATAAGCACTAGAGAGACGTGGCTTTTTGAGGTTACTAATTTTATCAATTTCCATTCCTTCTTTTGTTTCTTGCTTGGAAGATCGATCCTTCATATCTTCACCTTTTTTTTTTTCAAACTTAGGACTGTAGAGAGAGGAAGTTGCTTGGAAGAATCATGGTTTTTCTCTCTCAAATGTTCTGAAAGACAAAGTACACAACGCAGAGAGAGGAGCAGAGGCTGATCCAGAGGGCATCAAAGGGTGTCATAAATAATAGTTGGGGACAGTCTAGGGTTTTCAAAATTTTTTTGGAATTTTCCTTGTTTTGGCAATCAACATTTGTTACCATTTTATTACATGCATTAAACGGGCAGTTAGGAGTTCTCCTTTACTAAACTGCCCTGTTCTTTCAAGTATATTTACGACAAGTTTGCCTTCCTTCAGCTTTGGTGAAAAAGATATTGCCTCCTTCCTTCGATCCTTTTCCCTCGAAGCAAACAACAACTAAACATTGAATAACCTTGGGTGACTAATCTTCCAATTGCCACAAAGATGTGAAGGGTAACTTAACTCAAAAACTACGACGAGTAGTTTCCAATCATGCCTGTGCAATCTAGTTGATTGATAGCTTTTGTATTGTTTTTTTATAAAAACCGTCGTAATTTAAGAATAAAAGAAATTTTAAATTTTAAAATTATTAGATATTATTTTTTTAATAATGATTATATGCATCAGATAAATTTTTTTAGTTGATTAAGTAGTACAGACTTAAATTATTGATTTTATTCTGATAAATTTCGATGACTTGTATTGAGACAAATATAGGAGACAACTTCACTGAATCGTTAAAGCAATTTTTGTAGCTATTTCATGCCTGCATGATCAATCTCAGTTCATAATACACTGGTTTCTTATGCTTGTGTTGCCTGCATTATTAAAAATGACAAAAGAAGTAAAAAAAATTATGATGATGAACTTCAATATATCACAGTGGAAGATTAAGTTGTTGGTCCTTATTATGTCAAAGGGGGACAGCCTCTGACTCCTAGGTCGGATTTAGGAAGATGTAAAAGAGAGTGAAATTCATAGGTGATGTTTGGCAGGTTGTGTCTTGATTTTTACCGGTGATAACTCAGAACCAGAGGGCATTTTAGGCAAAAGGATGAATGAATGGGTGTTTCTGGCACCTTGTCTACAAGCACAATGGGACCAGGCCATGACAAACGTCAGCAAAAGCCTAATATAAGAGACTGACAGAAGAATCTCCATTACTGATGTAACCTCCTCTTTTATATTTGGAAAAAGAAAGGGAAAAATTCCAATATTTCTGCCTAACATCAAATTGTTGGACATGAATTGAGTCAGTTCATGAAACAGAGAACTCGGACCTTTCGTAAAGGCATTCTACACCAACTTAAAGACAGGAATGCTCCATACCGTACTAATTTGCTTTTTCCCATTGATTATAAAACTATTCCTCAGTCTTGCTGCTGCCATTTTCACTAAACCTTTTTTTTTACTTCAACTTAGTTGCTCCAATTGGAGGTGGCAGAGCGAGAGGCATGGCTTCTGCGGCTTTTATCGGAGCTTTCAGGCACCAATAACAGTGAAAATAAAGCCTAGATAAAAGAAATTATTACTGCTGTCAACATAAATAAATCAGCTGCTAGCTACTATACATTTATGAAAGTGTGAAATATAGATAGGTATGTGTAGAATTAACACTTCATTTTGTATATTCAAATTTGAAACTTACACTGTTTGTTCATCTAGGTAAATTGTTGTACGTGTAGGCAGCAAATGTAGCATCTGTCTGGTTAGAGTTAGAGAGAATTATGAAGCTTCAAACCAATCTAGGACATGAAAAACTTTACAAAAAGATTGTGTTCTATATTTGCTGTGTTAATTATACTATTTCTTGTCCTACAATTTGAATTACTAGTACTTATAAGAACTTTTGGGTCAGATAAGACCATAAAATTTTCATGATGAGCACAGCACAACATACTCTAAACTATTTAGATACTCCCAATTGATATTTTAAAGTACCTTCTACTATAAGTATTTTAACCTGATTACTTTAGAATAATCTTAAGCATTTTTTTATACGCATATACATATATACACACAGACACTTAAATCAAATTCAAAACCAAGAAGGATTTGAATCTTAGGCTTGCACCTCCCCACTTAAGAGGAGATATAGCAAATATATAGCCACTGAACCAAGAACTTGTGATCTAAAGCCTTTATCTTTGCATAAGATAACTGAATGCCTAAGCTGCTGGATCAGTATCCTTGACTTAGTTGTATATGTTCAATCTTAATGTTTCAATACTGTAAGAAAATGTCGTCTCTTTTTTTCCCTCTATGCTGAATGAGAGAATGATCTTTTAACATCTTGAACAAAATGAACATTACTCAACAATGTCTTAACCCAAAATTGAATCGGACTACATACACAACAAAATGGCAAAAAAAAAAAAACCAAAAGAAGATAATTATATGCTGACAACAATTAATAAATCCGTACAAGTTAAGCACAAGGGAAGAAGAACTGAAAATAGAGTGAACACACAACAGAAACAAACATGTCACATGCATATATAACCATGGGCATTCTTATATGTAATTAACACCCGAAGTCCTGAACAGACAGAAATAATAGCTAAGATAAAAATAAAATTTAGAATAGAAACGGAATTAATATATATATATATATATATATATAGAAGAGTAATGAATATGGAGAGAGAGAGAGAGAGAAGCACAGGCCTGTTGTTGTGAAGTGGATAAAGATGCATATGCAAATAGTATATGACTTTGAAGAGGGTTTCTGTTTTACTGATGAGAAAAATCCAGCTTCCACCAATCCCTTCGGGCGCATATATTGCAGCTCAGATGAAAAAGATAGCTTTCAACGAATCACATTTACACAGCACACCACCGCCGCCCCTACCCACCATCCCCATATGCTTCCATTTCTCTCTCTCTCTGCCTTTGGATTCCATTCACACCAGTGCCACTATCCCTGTAAAACACTTATATCATTTACCCTCTTATCCCTTTTACAACAATACAGCTCTCTTACCTATCGCACGCCGCACATTTTAGGGGATAAAAACAAGGCTTTTCTCTCTTGAGCAGAAATATTTATTCCACTGTTTTTTCCTTTATTTTTGGCTAATCAGTTGATAGCCGTTACCACGCAGCAAACAGGTCTGCTACTCTTTGCTCTCTCTTTTATCTGTCTGTCTCTCTCTCTGGGATCGATCGTGAGTTGCTCCTACTACAGTAATTCTTTGGCCCCCTTCAATTAACTTCACTAATAAATGTATGCTAAGTCAATAATGCATCTTTACTGTTTCTCATGCGTTGCCATCTGCATCACAATTTCAGCCTTAACAATTGACAATTGTCTGCATTTCTCTTTGTAAACGGGGAATTCAATTGCGTGAAAAGTTGAGCATCTGAACAAACGGTAATTACATCTAAGGAATTTTTCATAGGATTGAATTTAGAACCACGTTAATTTTTACTATCATCACGTCAAAAATCAGTCACCCTTTTATCATTAAATTAAATTCACGAGTATTTGGTTTGTTTTCAAAGTGACATGAATGTTTGGATTATTGTATGTACCAAACCATTCCAAACCGAAAATAGCTTGGAATGGCATGGAGAAACCGGTGAGAAGCAGACTGTCAGACAAACTTTTACTACTGCTTGCTAGTTTGAATTCTTGAGATATGGATAGATTTGGAAGGCTGCTGGTTTGCATTTAGGTGATTGCATGAGCAGAGTTTTTTTTTTTTTTTTTCTGTTACCCTCCCTGAGCCTGAAGGTGGAATTGATTATCCAATTGCCTAAGAACGGGGTGGGACCGCCTGCAAGAAATGACGGACATGATCTGACGGGTTATAATCAAACGGCTTTTGTCCACTGAGGGTGGGTAGAATTGCTGACAAAGGATGCCACATAGTTAGGGCTTTGAGGCACCAATCAAAGGCAGGTTGCCATGTGGGAATGCACAGAAAGGGACAACAACTTGGCAGCTGCCACCGCCGACAAAGCCTGCACCTTCCCTTCCCTTCCCTTCTCCCTTCATTCAACTGCCCGTTTCACCATACTGTTCATAGTTCACAACAATTTTCTTTTACTGTAAACTCAGGAGCTTTTATCTTCATTTACTTCATGAACAATGGGAAAACAAAACTCCAATAAACAACAAATGAATGCAAACCTCACAAGTAATGACAACCCACCATACTCGACCCAAAATAATTCCAAAACCGTTTGGTTTGAAAAAGGCCTGCGTGCCTTTCTTCAAATCATGCCTTAATCTACCCTTTTTTTTCGTTTATATATCTGTAATAATTGAATACTGAAAATATTGACAATTGACAAGTACACTATAATCTGAATTCACTACGTAATTTGCATTATCCTCTTTGTTTTTCGAGTTTTATCTGTTTCTTTTACTTGTATTTTAAGTTCCTTAATTCCAAAAATTGAATTATATTAGCTGACCACACAGGATCCTGGTAAAAGAATACATGCAACGGTTAATGCCATTAGGAATGGCTTAAATCCCTGTTCCTGCCCTATCTCTTCCCCAACACATGCAGATATTCCAGTGTTATTTACTTATAACGCCAGCTGTATCCATTTTCCACTTGATATTGTCGTAAAATATTGAATTGTCACTTATTGAATTTAGAGGGAAAGAGGGGGTATTGCGTCTTCTCAGATGATGCAGCCCCTCACATTCTTTTTCCTCCATTTACCGTCCAAAGTGTATGGTCACTTTCCGCCATAAATGGGGATGGGGTTGGTGGCGGCGGGACCATTAATCCATTTTCAATCTGCCACCAACAGTACGCTACACAACTCTCTTCTAGAACCCAAAGAGAGAGTATCGCATCAAATTTTTGGACCCCTTTTTATTACAGCTTTGGTTATGGTTTTGAGCGACAAGTTGCTGCCCCCTGCCAATAAAAACCCAGCATTACCAATCCAATTCTATGCCAAGGCACTGTCTCTCTGAATAGTCCACGATCTCTATTAATCTTATTTATTAATTTTTATTTTTTTACTCTTATTCTTATTTGTTTTTATCAGTATTTGAGGTGTGGAATATTGGAAGGATGTGAAATTTTTATATCCACTTCAATGCAAGCAGATGATAGGAGCTGCTGGTGACATGCGTGCAGAAACAAAATATCAGACAGCCGCATGCATGCATTCAAGGAAGAAATGGGCTATCCATGACAAAATGCTTCAACAGCTAGCACAACTGTGGAATTTTCTGGCAATCCTTTCTTCACTCGAATGAGTACCGTGACTTCAACTTTGCTGCTACATATTTTTACCATAGAGAACATGCATGCCATAGAGGAACCATAGTAAAACTGTAAATGTGATAACCCAACCCAAATAATAATTGGACTAAACTAATATCAAAGTCCGTCAGTTTATCAAGAGATTAATTTATATAAAAAAAAATTTAGGGTATTAAATGAAAAAAAACTTAGCGAGAAACAGAAAGAAAATTGGAATTCTTATTTTTCACCTTCCTTAAGGTTAGAGAATATGAAAAATCAAGTTGGTGATGAAAAATCAGAGGTTACAATCAAGTTAATCCCCTAAAGATAAGTATATACCCTCTTTTTATTTAAGAAAAAAAATATCATATTGATTGCTATTATATGAAGTTAAAGTTTTGAGAAAAAAATCAAGAAAATTATGAAATCTTTCATTAATCTTCGTGATCTTTGAGTAAATTATTGGGCTTTATTTATTTTATATTCTTAAGATTTATTAATGATTATTGAATGTAATTTTATGACTGAGGAGATTTGAGTTTTTAAAGATTGAAAAAGAAATTTTATTTTTGAATGTAATGCTATGATTTGTAATAGTGAATTAAAATAAAATTTCGTATTAATGGATAGATTATTGCTATGATTATTATATATCGTTAGAAAGCATGTTGAATATATTTTCTAATGTAATAAACAGAAGTCAAATCCGAGTTTTTTTTATGAAGAGTTGCCTAATTTTTACTTAAGGATATACAAACTGTAAGGTAGCAATACTAGGGTTGAATTACAAAAATAGTCTTAACTTTTACACAAGGAATTACAGATTAAGCCATATATGTTTGAAAGCATATTAAGTCTACTTTCCAACAAAATAAGCTGAATTGAATTTTGAGTTTCTTATAAATAAATGTGTAATTTTTGTTAGAAGGTATACATACAATCTGACAGCAGCATATGACATGAATTGCAAAAATTATTATAATTAATCCACAAGGAATCACGAGATGGGTCATATATGGTTAAAAAGCTTGTCGAATATAGTTTCTAACGCATTAAAAAGATTTTAATTCCGAATTGAGATATGATTGTTCTAGTGAAAGTAGCGCAGATTGCTAGAATTAGTTACTCGAGTTATTTCTTGTTTTAACTTAATTGTTTTGGTATAAGTGATCTCAAATGGGTTAATTAATTACTGTTATATTTAAATTACTTTTAATAGGCCGTTAATTATTTAGGAAGAAAAACTAAATAGTGAAATCGAAAAGAGGTAAGTAAAATCTCATACACTTTTCTTGTTTTCGAACCCATGCGTGTGTATATATATATATATGTTTCTAAATGAGAAAATGTTTTATTTCATTATTTTTGATATATGAAAAAAAGACCAACTATATGATTATTTTGTATTTTTGCTATGTAAATGATGGATCACGCTTATGAATGAAATGAAAAAATAATTTATATTTAAGAAATGATTTTATGATAGCTACATTTTTACTTTCCCGGGAAGTGGGATCATTGAGACCAAAATTAGTTCTACGACCTTGGCTAACGGGTTATAGTAATTAGCATAGACATGATCATACGATCCTACTAACGGGTTATAGTAGTTAGCGTAAAGTCCTAGCTAACGGGTTCTAATAGTTAGCAATGATCATGATGATGAAATTGTCGATACGATCAATGTCACAGGTTATAGTAATGATCATAGCTAATGATAAACTAATAATAATGATGATTTATAATGATTTTAAAATTTGATCCATGATTTGTATATAAAGATGATTTATGATAATTTTTAATGATTGATCCATGATTTTGTTTGATTACGATATTTGAATTGTAGCATATTTTGCAACGATTTATGAATTGACATGTTTTTATATTGATTTATGAATTTATGAAATGTTTGATAGAAATATGATCTTTGAAATGTTTTGACATTATGATTTTACGAATATTTTAAATGATCTATATGATATGTATAAAAAAAATGCTTGATCTAGTAAGGTGTATGAACCTATACTTGCTGAGCTATAGTTTGCTCATTCTCCTTTTACTTTTTTTTTACAGATGAATAATTTATAAGTTTTCTTAGTTTTGTGAAAGCTAAAAGATCAAATGAGAAAGATCACTTAATCATCAGAGACAATGTTGGCCAATAAGATCTTATGAAACAGTTTTTTATTTTTATATGATTTGTATTTGGATATATAGAGATGCATCATTAGTTAGATTAAATATATGGATTTTACTTGATAGATTATATCAATTTATTAAAAAATTTTAGAATGATTAAGAAAAAAAACTTCATATTACTTTGAGATTTTATTTCAAGATAATATGATCGTGTTACGTTTTGGTATCGAACGTGATAGTAAAAATGCTTTCAATATGCTAAATTAACCTAAAATTGATCTCTCCGTATTGATTCAACAGGTCAAATGTTATCGTGCTTCGGCTTGAGGGACCGAATTCTTTTAAAAGCTGATGCAGACGAAAATCCAGTTGCAAACAGACCTAATCTCTATTTACGCCTCTGAGAATACTGTTCTTCAAATTCTATAACATATTAGGGAAGATAGGGGCAGGGCTGAGGGCTGACGAGGATTCTCTATACTTTTCCTGAGAGATTTTGTCTTTCCAGCAAAAAAGAGCTGAGCAAAAATAACGTTATGCCCGGACTACTTTTGAGCCGGCGTACATAAGCTGACACTCGACATGCACGGAAGTTACCGACCAATTCCAAGGACCCTAAAACAAAATCAAAACATTGGAATCATCATCAGCTCTTCATGTAACTCCCCGACCAGCTTCTGACTTGTCTATAGAGGTTCTCTATTTATATGAACACGTTTGAGTTTCTTCATCAATTCACTTCATTTGATTAATCTTTCGCAAAACGATAGATATATATATATATATATCATTAATTTGAGGCTACAAAATTTTCTATTCTAATTTGTCAATCAAGATTCAAATGGCTGCTTTTGCTTCGACCTCAGCATGCCCATTGGCCACCCTTGCTACAATTCCCAAAGCCAGGGGATCTATTTCTCAGCACAAAAACTTAACTACCATTGTAAGTGATTACCCCTTTTAAGTTGGTGCATTGTGAATAACTGAGATCACTGAACCAAATTTGTATTGTAGGGAGGTCCTGTCTTTAATGGGTTAAAGCTTATTCCAAAGATTCAATTCTCAAAGGAGTCAAACAAAATTTCCACTCGATCTAGCTGCTTTAAGACTGCAATTTTATGCTCTCTTGTAAGGAACTAATTAATTAACTCGTATGTATATATAAATATATATATATATATGTCTTCTTTTTTTTATTTGGCACATGAAATATTCTGCCAATAAGCTCATCATCTTGATACATATTGGCTTTGGCTAGGCTGAACCTGAGACATTGAAAACTGTCCAAAACACCATTGCTAAGCAGTTGTCGATTGATGTGAGCACGGTGACTCCTGAAACCAAGTTTGCTGATCTGGGTGCTGATTCCCTTTGACACGGCACATCTCTTCAAGACAAGTGCACATTTGTTTTTATTACAACCTCTTTTCAATTTCTTGCGACATGTGCATATCCTGGTTTTTTCCTTCACAAAGAAGATTCTTCAAATTATTATACTCTTCTCTTCGCCAAAATTAGAAAAAAAAAAAGGTCTCATAATTGGATAATATTGTATCAGAAAACAAAACCTGACTCAGACAATGGTTTATCAATTCATTTCACGTGGAGATAATGGTGGCCTTAGAGGAACAATTTGGAGTTTCAGTTGGAGAAGGTGGAGCTGAGGACATAACAACCGTCCAAGACGCTGCAGACTTGATTGCGAAAGTAAAGGCTGCTGCATAGGCCGCTTAGAGAGCACATCATTTCCGTTACAGTACTATGAAAAATTTCTTTTTTTTAGTTGTTTCATAAATGCCACCAAAGAGAGAAATTACAGTGATCAAAATTTTTCTGCAAGGTGGCATTTTTTTCCGTTTCCAAAAGGGCAATTTTTGTTGCGGGGTGGTCGTAAATTGTAGCCTGTCGCTTGTCTCTTTATTCTTCCCGTTCCTCCCCACAGGAAAAAAATATATAAAGTCAATAAATGCATGATTCTAATTGAGCTTTGTTTTTAGAGATGCAAAAAGGAAAGTAGTCTTCATGAGTGCACACGCACTTACAAATAATATATACAAAAGCTATACATACAACTTTTCCCTTGGTTTCATGGATCAGGAAGAGACCTAGAACCGATTCAGGTAATGAAATTCAAAGCATACCAGATGAAAGAAGCTTTCAATTTATATGTTTCTTCGATTGGTGTCTAGTCTTAAAGTTTAATTCCTCTATCCTTTTTGGTTCTTATGAAAGCTTATTAAGCTTGAGCTACACAAGGGAGCTGTCTGATTTTTAATTCCTTCTATACGCTGATTATTTTTTCAATAAACTGCACCTACACAGAATCAACTATCGTTTGAACTCTGGCAGTTAGTCTTCCAAACGTCCGAACCAATCAGTAATCGTTCTAGAGAGCACTTTAGTTTCATTCAGTGAGAGAGTCTTAAGTCCCTGAGCAATAGCATCTGCTGGAGTGTACACATAGCCCGCTTGCCATTTTGGCTCCTGATCAGGCAAAGTAAATTAAATCACCAACATAAAAGCTTAAGATGTCTTAAGCTATGAACATGGCAACCCAAAATACGAAAGGTACCAATCCTCTCTGCACAGCTGAGGACAGAGGGATAAACTAAGGGAGGCAGAGAGAGATGAAGTTTGTGTGTAATACCTGCACACATGGTGTTATATGGTTACCACTTAATTGGACCTTTTCTAGCGTCCCACCAATAGACTCCACACGAGGCTTCAATGTCTCTTCAAGGAGATCAGTTTCATCAATTGTGTCAAAGTTGAACTTCACCTATGAAACAAAGTAGATTCACCAGAATAAACACAAAACCCACCTACATTATCTCATTAATGAAATAGAAAGCCTATACTACATACCAGTAGTGTGTGTTGGACATTGTATTTGTTCTTACAACATTCACGGTTCTCTGAAGGTGTTGGCTTGAACTCTAATTTCCCTTGTGTGACCTAAGAGAAACAGAATTACAATGCTAAGGTAAAAAACTACAGGCCGCCAGTTTAGGAGAGTCTCAAAATAACAAAAAAAATCAGGCAGGAAAAGTGGTATATTCAAAATAGCAAACCACCATTTATTATCCTAAACCTTTACCCTACCTTATACATACATTGATACTTGCTCAACTAAGATTTTAGTTACAAAATCCAAATTGGAGTCTCAATTCTTATCCACTAGAAAAGTCTAAATTCAATAACCTAACACTGCATGACAGAGAGAAGCAAGAACAATTAAGATGAAATGGACTTAGCCACTTCATGTATTATCTCAGACAACTTTATAACAGACAGATAAATACCTGACCAAAAACTGAGGGCAACTGATCAACAAATTTGGTGAATGAGACTAGGGCTTCCTGGTCTCTGTCAGGTATCATTGCTCCAGCTGTGTCAATAAATATCTTCCACGCATCATCTGCAATGTTAGCAATCACAAAGTAAATCCAAAATCATTATTTTGTATACAAAAGATTAAGGTGTATGCATGTTAAGAACAACGCACATCCTAAAATCATGTTGCATGATGAATTTATCACAGCTATACCATAGCAATTGGTACTTCAATCCAAATAAAGGCATGAAAAGAAAGCAGAGGCTACTCATAGGAAAGTCATGGTTATAATACAAGGGAAGGCATTGTTCCATGGTTCAGAAAACAGACTAAGTTGAAGAATAGCACCATATTAATAAGATATTACCATGGATTGCTGGAATCCATGAAAACAACGCAACTGCAATGCAAAAAAGAAGGTAGAAGAGGGGGGGGGGGGGGGGGAGGGGAGGCAAGCAAGAGACAAGAGTTTGAATGTAATTTACCTGAAGCACTCCTAGCCATTGAATACACTGGAGATGCTTCTACAATTGGCATCATCTGCCTAACTAGAGGACCAAACTGCAGAGTATTATCACAACTTTTAGTCTCATATGGTTCATTAGATTAACATACCAGTGCAACAAATAATGACATTCATAAAGTCACTGCAAACTTACAAACAATATAATACATCTCAGGATGATAACGTATCAACTAATAAGCAAAACTATGAAACGCTTAACAAAAGAACATTACAAAAAATTTTAGTTGATCCCAAGAAAAGCAGTCTCATTAACAACACATGACAGGATTAAAAATTGTTGGTAATAACTTTACATGATAATAACTAATAACTGCCATCATCTCTTTTGCACTCAATTCATTAAAGAAACCAACTCCATTCATATAGTATTAATCCTAATAAAGGAATCAACCATTGAAGACAACCAACTAATCAGTTTATGCAAGTCCAACATATGTTCAAGATTTACCTTCAATTTAAGCTTGGATCCTTCTGTTATTCACACGAAATGGTTAATATGCATAAGAAGCAATGCAAATAGACATGATAAGGACTATGACATGGTGAATATCAATGTGATTATATTAACAAATTAGGAATGGAGACTAAACATATACCCTAAAGTAAGTGTTATCAAAATTTGGGCTCCTATCCCCTTGAAATAAAGATAATTACCTGCTCAAAGTATGGCACCGCCTCTGTAGCTGGCCTGTTGTTGTATGAGATAATGGCATTAGCCTTCCACAAAAAGATAACATTCTTTGTCACACTCCAGGAATTGCTTAACTTATTCTAAATTACAATATCTAAAACTTCATAATTCTGCATTTTGCCTACACATACTAATTTCCATAATCAACTCCTTTAAAAACTGCAATCAGCGAAGCAAATTTCAACTGCTGGAAAAAGACAAAGAAAAACCAAACCTTTGGTATCTTCTCGGAGAAATAACTTCCTGTGAGTACTTGAAGAAGAGCACCATTGCTGCAATAATCATAAAAATCAAATAGACTTAGTTATTAAGCATAAAAAAATTACGTATTGTTAAACAAACATTAAAAGCAAACAACCACCTAGAAATACTTACCTGTGACCAACTGAGAAAATTGGAAGGTCAATAAGATCAACAGGAGTAAGATCAGCATCTGGGAATCCAAAAGCAAGAATGTTGTCCAAGCAAGTATTGAACCTCTCATATACTAGTTTAGCAGCTTGTTCATGATCAAATGTCACATTGTACGGCACTGATATTATTAAAAACCCTTCCTTTGCCAAAAGCTCAATCAAGTAACTAAAAAAACCCAAACTCAAAATCAGCCAAGCACCTTATATTGATTAAAAAAATGGAAATAAGAGAAATGGGTACCTGTAAGTAACTTCGGGCACAGCTCCAATGAAAGCACCGCCTAAGAATTTGATGATTGCGTGTGGTTTCCTGTTTCCAGTTGGAGGTATGATCAAACAAGAATCCACCCTTCTGTATATTTTATTATTAACGCTATTATTGTAATTGAAATTAGAGGTAATGTTGTCAGTGAAGCCGAAGCTGCTCCCCCGGCAGCTAAAGCCATTGGAAAACGGCCGTAGAACCCGAGACTGAAAGTTGAGAAAACTGGTTCTCTGAGGATACTTATAAGAGCGGAAAGTTAATGTTGTGAGATTCTTAGGAGAAAGCAAGTTTTGTTGTGCGACTGAGATTGAACAGGTAGCCAACTCCATTGTGTGCTTAGTAAAAGGATTGTGGGGGAGAAAATCTGCGGAAAAAGTTCTATGGTGGAAATGGACGCAAAACCACTACAATTTCGTTAATGGCTTTCTAAAAACATACGCTGAGAGTTAAGCCACGATTCAGGGTTTAGAGACGTGGGCTGGAATGGTCCATTGGGGCGAATATATGCTTGGTTGATCGGGCTTGGGTTGTGAAGTCAGGTGCCTTTCGGGATCCAAACCTTACAATATCCAACTTGGCCCATTTTTAATAGTACTTCAATTAAAAAAATAAATGAACAACGTAAGTTAACAAGTTGCTTCACTCAAAGTTAATCAGAGGAATTCACTCAAAAAAAAGTTAATCAGAGGAATGGCACGATTCACAGTACAGTAGCTGCTGCATCCTGCAATGGTAAACCTACCCATCATTGAATTTAGAACCAATCAACCTATGAACTATAAGCATAGGCATTTAAAAAAGAAAAAGAAACTATGGAGTAGAGGTAAGAGTCTTCTATGCTGAACAAAAATGGCGTAACAGCAATTCAATCTACCATATCAAGCAAGAAAGATACAGATATAATAGTAGGATGGTGGTAGTAATAATACAGAAATCTGAAACTTGACGAGACAATGGGGGAAACATCATGATCCCCTTCACAAAGAAATGCTGGAACAGACATTCGCATGCTTATATACCATGCTTCCTGGTCCACAATCTCCATTTCTGTATTCCCCATATGAAGTACAGGAGAAGAGTTTCAAGTAGAAGAAGAACCCAAGGGCTTGCATTTTTTCTCCAATGTAGCACAACTGAGATGTTCATATGCCGCTAACATAAGTAAAAGATCAATCAAACGTTTAGACAACTTTTCTCAGATGCATGCAGCTTGGAGAACATGATCTAAACATTGGCTTGTTTATGAAATATTGTTGGCTTAATGCAAGTAGAGACAAAGATAATACTCATGGTTATGCCATTACAGCACAAAAGGTCCATTAACATTTCACAAACATTTTTCAAATGATTCTTGAGGAAAACCAGCAAGTCTTTCCCATCAGTTTTATATGTTCGAGTTTCAAAAGTTCCAACTGCATCAAGAAAGTAATTAAATTTGTTGAGCAAGACATTAGCATTCAAAGTAAAAGGCTATAAGTTTTGCATATGGCAGCCAAATGGTCTAATAGCATTATCTCATTAATACATAAAGCAAATTTCATCATAATATGATTTGCCAACTTCTGTGGGCTAATTTGCTTAAACAATTCAAATAAGAGAACAAATCAATACTAAAAGAATACAAGAAAGAACAAAATAAACGAAGAAAAGAAGACTGAGAAAAAATATTTAAAAAAGAAAAAAAAAAAAGGATGGATCACAGACGACATCATCAAATCCTTAAAAACGTAGCTCAATCCACGCCATGATTTCATACAGAAGCCTCAATCCTTGGCTGGAATGAAAAGGCAGACATGAACTCCAAGGCTTCACCATTCATAGAACATTTGGGCAGTTCAACCCAATCATTAGTCACAAGATCACAAAGAACATAACTAAAAAGCTCAGCAGAGCTTAAGCAGATAAATATCTGATCACCAGCCCCAACACAGTTTATGTCTACCTTCTTGCCATAAAACTCGTGTGACATCGCAGGAGGCATTGCTGCAATCTGATTCCAAGTCTTGGTTTTCTCATCACATCTCCATACCCTAAGGCTAGCACTTTCAAAAAGTTCTGATAACACAACAATCAACATCTCTCCTTTACCCTCCACCACATCAATGGAGTACTCATAAAAGACGGGCAACAATCTGGGATATTCAGAAAAATACTTGTGGGTCAGATTGCATGCCACAACCGTCCCGGAGGTGCTGAGGAAATAAACAATCTCCTCACCATCTTTAAGAGTAATAACTGAAGAATACTGCTTGGATGGGCTTCTCTGCATGTTAGTCGCCACTACGTTTCCAGCTTTACTGAGGAAGTACATGGCATCATCATCATTTGAGTCAAATTCCGAACAATCATCAGCTTTTCTCCTCAACATAGTCTCTTCTTCCCAGCAATCAGCGCTTGAGTTATAAACTTTCAATGAAAGCTTTGGAAGATCACCAGAGACTAAGAAAAGCTTGTATGAGCCATGGTAGTTGGAATATACATTCATTGCAACAGCATGAAGAGATCGATCTTGAGAGTCTGGATCCACTGGAGGGTGTTCACGACAAGAGCCTGCCACTGGATTGCATACAATGTAATCGCCAGACCTATTGCGGAAACAGACAAGCCCAGCAGATGCTGCAACTGGAATGGAGTCATAGTTAAAGTTATGCAAGAGGAGAGGCGGATGACTGAGTTTTTTCCAACTTCTTTCAGCAGAGTCAAAGACAACTGATTGCTTACGATTAGGATCCACCATGTAAAACCATGGATCCCGTGAAGGAATCCTAGAGCATGCTAGCTTAAAAGTTTCAGAAGCTGCAACTGTCTGCCATCTCTTGCACACTGAACTGAGGCGACAGAACGTTGAGGTTGGTAACCATGAAAGGACCCTTTCTAGGAGGTCTTCAGTAAGCTCATCCAAGAAGAAGTCCATCATATCATTGCCTTCTTGATGCAACTTTCTCTTTCTAGATGGCCTTGAAATACAGCCAATAGCCTTCCCCATTGGCAGATTATCTCAAAAAAATTAACTGCAATGACAAAAAGATGATAACGACACTATTAATAGAGGACATTGTCAGTACCATCAAACAAAAGAATCAAAAAGCATTTTGTTTTCAAATCTATCCACATCAAAGAGAACATATGAAACAAGGCAAATAAGGCTTGAATATCACATCAATTAAAGGTTAGAGAAAAATTAACACCCTAACTAACATAGACATTAAAGGTCCACTTGACTAGAAAGCATTAAGAGGCTCTGCGTTTCCTAATCTCTTCTCTCATATTAACACCGAAAATTTAGTTTCTTGGAAAAAGTAGGGTAAAGAAGGGCAGAAAAATAGCACTACTATTAATGAAGTGACAACATCATACCACTTGGGGAGAACAACAAAAATGACAAAAAAAAAACCATCGTCCAAAAGAAATTTCCCTCCTTTTTCAAGTGGTTCAACAGGAGGACAAGTTAGCTCCACTCAATTTCACTTCAATAAATGCAGAGTAAATTGAAGAGGGAAATTTCATAAAAAAAAAAAAAAAAAACAGAAAGGGTAAGAATTTTCGTTAAATACCATCAATTTGCAATAGTCTTTTATTTTTTTACTATATAAAAAATTCTAATAAAACTAAGAGCCTGACATAACCCATGAAGAAAAAATCTTTTAGCTTGATTAAAAAGATGGCAGAAATGACCTTGACATGGAAGAAGATCAAAGAAGGAAAAATGTACCTGGGGTTAGGAAGCTGAAGGGGAAGCGTTGAGAGTGCAAGAGCGTTAACTGAAGCTGGGTGGGTCTCTGGGGTTTTAAAGAGGGACAAGTTGAAATAGCCCAAAAACAAAACAAAAGAGAAAGCAACAGCAAAAAGAGGAAAGTAAAAGGTTTAAGAGGAAGAGGAAGGGAGGCATGAAACTTCCTGTGGTTGCTCTTTTTGTAAGCGTTGACACCATAGACAGTAGACACAAGACAAGAGCGAGCAAAGCAACGATTTATAAACAAAAACAAAAGTGAAAGTGAAGCACTCACACACACGGGTGGAGAGAGAAAAAAAAGATAAAGCAAAACAAAATCTACTAAGTTGACTCAACTCTGCGACGGTAAGTCAACAAGACAGGGTTAGTAATGGGCAACAGAGACTCAGAGAGAGGGAGAGAGTGGTGCATTGGATTCTAGGTTGGGTCGTCCCGCGAACTACAACACAGCTCCAGGATTTTGTTCGCTGTTTTTACACTTTAATTATAAAAGTAGGTGAAAACACACGCAACCCTGGTTGAGTAAAAGAATAAAAAAAGGAATTGCATTTCCATGTCAAAGGAAGGAGGGGGGTTAAGGCCTGACTGAGTGAACTGGGTGGGTTGTTGACATTTGTAAAGCAAAAGCAACGCAAGAAAGAGAGAGAAAAAGAGAAAAAGAGAGAAAGAGAGTTTAGAAAGCGAGTTTTTCTCATTGGGTATAGACTATAGTTTTTGCTTTCTTTTGTGTTGCCTTCCTCGTTGAGGAATCTTTTCCTTTCGTTTCTTTTCTTTTCTTTTTCTGTCTTTCCATTGGGTTTTGGTCAGTTTAATGTCAAAATGCCCTGGAATTTTCCCACCAACAATTTTTTTAAAGTCCCTTCTTACCACTTCAATTATAAAGCAAGAAATTAAGATTTAAATATCAATTTTCCACAGTTATGATCCAATTTTTTAAAAAAATGCATGCATGGAGGAAGAAGTGAACAAAATCAGGAAGCCGTATGTCTGAAGTGCATGTGAAATTGCAAAAGAAAAAAATAGTAAAGTTGTAATAAAATAAAACTGTATAAAAAAAGGACGTAACTTGAGGATAAGTAAAAAAATTATTAGTATTGAAATTTAAACTCTTATATTTATTGAATGTAAATTTTTTAAAAATAATTACATAAATCAATTAAATTTAAATTTAAATTTTATAATAAAAAAATTTTACTACCGAATTAGTATATTGTTATCTCATAATACAAGTTTAAACAATGAACTATTACTTTAGAAGTATAAATGAAAAAGTTATTCATTTTTATTAATTAGTAAATAATATTTGCTAACTATCAATTTTAATTTATGTCAATTTGTGGAGCCTATAGCTAGCGAAAACAAATCTTAGCAGTAAAATATTTCCTTTGCTTTCATAGACGTGGTTCTGGCGGGTCCTTTAGGTGGCTTCTTACATGGGCTGAAGGTCTGACCCAAGCTTTGTTAGTATCCACTGAGCCCATTTCATGGGCCCAGAAAGAATACTCTTCTGGAAAGTCCAAGAATGGTAATGGAAAATGTTAAACGGAAAGAAAGAGTCAAAGAGGAAAAGTCAAAAATTAGAAAAAGGATGGCAGGTTTGTTGATAGGTGTTTCATGGTTGTCTCTTCTTCTACTTCAGCCAAAGCTTGGATCAAAGGCTACAGATCTTTAACAATAACGATTACCCAAGATTTGGAGTGGTTAGCAACCGTCACCTTCACTTTAAAGGGGTGATTCTAGCTGAGATAGTATCTTCTGATTCCAAAGTACCCAAGATTGTTACTAACACTGTTGGTTCTGCCAAGGGAGAGATCGACATCGAAGTAGACACTGGAAACGGCGGTGGAGGAGGATACGGTGGGGATAATAGCTGCTGAAGTGATAGTGAGAAGTTTTCCGACGACGTGAATAAGAAAAAGATGGCTTTGTCTTTGTCCCAGAAGTTGACTCTCGGATATGCTGCTTTCGTCGGAGGTAAAATTCTTGTCTTTGCTTTTTCGTTGTTTGACGTATGGTTTCATTTATGATTTGCTGTTTGTGTCTTGATACTTGTATAGATTCGAGTTGGTAGAAATTTGATTGGATTTTGGGTAATCAGGCAGAACTCTAGACTTGATAATAAAATACAATTGGTGATAATATGCTACAAGTAAAGGAGATGGATATTGTTGTATGGACTGTAGAATTGCTAATGTGCAAACATTTCATTTTACTGAGGTATAGTGGGTGGTGCCATGGGCTACATTAAGAGTGGCAGCCAGAAGTCGCTTTTGGCAGGAGGATTGTCAGCCGCACTGCTCTCCTATGTTTATACTGAGCTTCCAACAAAACCAGTTTTTGCCTCGTCCCTTGGGCTTGGTAAGTCACTCTTTTTTCTTTTGATGCACCTTGGTGTTGTATGTTTTTGTTGCTAAAGATGATTGATTTACATCTCAAGTGATGAGGTTAGAAGAGATAGGGCCTGCCAATTAGTGTTGGACTTGCCTTTAATGTTGAATTTCCAAAGGATTAGCTGATTTGTCCTTTTGTTATCATCTTGATTGAAAATTTCTTGAGCGTGAAGATAAGATTGATTTTTGCTTTCCAGAAAAGGAAAGGAGAGAGAAGGAGAGGGGAAGAGAAAGGTAAGGGTGTTCAGTGTTGTTGTGGAACAAAGAAAAAATGATAACCCTTGAACTCAGAGCTTAGCTCTATCGGTTTATGCAGTCACCTTAGCATTCAGTTGGTGTAGATTCAAATCCTAACACCTGCAATTCCTTTCCCTATCTCCAGGCTGCAACCTCTTTTGTACTAAAAAAATAACCCCCAAAGTTATATTTCATAGTGGCTTATGTCTTATGTTACTTGCTAATAAATTGTAGTAACTACTAACTTGATGTAGGATGTAATCCTGTCTGTTTGTACAAAGCTAAAGAGAATTAGAAAAGGTGTTGATAGTTTCTAACTTCACAACCTCACTTATGAGGAATAAGGAGGTGAATCTCCAAGTTTTCGTTTGAACATTAATCACGAATATGAGGCCGTTACAGAGGATTTAGCTTGTCTCTTCTCATTTCATTTTTGTCTTAGCTCCATCGAGTTTAACCCTAATTACATTTATGATATTAATTTGAAGGTATATCTGCTGCACTTTTGGGAGTGATGGGTTCCCGTTTCAAGAGGTCAGGAAAAGTCTACCCAGCCGGTGTTGTATCACTTGTGTCCTTTGTGATGGCAGGGGGATACCTGCATGGCATCCTGCGTAGTATGCACTAGTTTGAGGCTGTAGTGACAGTAACAAAGTTGAATAACGAGCCTGTATGTTTACGGGACATGGTGTTTTGTTATATAGAGTGCTTTGCTATATCTAACTTTGAAGTTATGAACTTTGTTAAACCATCATGCAATGTGTTTGGACACCAAGATTACTTTCATATTTGAATGCGTTTTCCTCTAAATAATCCCCATTTTAACTTGACATTAAGTCCTACTCCTCCCCAACTAAGTTTTCAAACATCTTTGGCAGTTTTGTTGTTTATTTGATACAAATTATGGGGGGAGGCAATAGCCAATAAATGCCTTTTCAGCTTTGAAATTTTGTGACTTTGAAACTTAATGCATGTCCAAAGTTCGTATTTTGTCACCTTTCACCCCTTCGCCACTAGGCCAACAGACTTTAAGGAAGGCATGTGAGCATGGGTTTTAATCTCGTCATTTTCCTTCCCCTTGTTTTTTCCTCTTATGAACAAAACAAAAGAAAGTTAAGTATTTTGTCTGTGTATTGTGCATAATACAAGAATGTTTTTTTTAGGTGGAAGTTGGAACCTTTAATCTTTGATCATAGGAAGCAACCTTGATCAGTTATAAAATCAATATTTTTCATTCATTATCAGGGCATTAAGAATCATCGATAATATGTAATGCTTGTTTGAAAGATGGTGCAACAGGCTTTAGCTTTTAATAACAAAACGGCAATCTTATGCAGTTGCTACATCATCTCCATAGAATGAGTTTACAAAAACCCATTTGGCAGTGATGCCAATATCAACGGCAGCCAACCTTTACCGACCAAATTTTCCTGCAGTTATCCAACCTTTACCGTCCAGACCTTCCTGTAATTGAGAGTATTTCATTGTAAGTCATCAATGACATAAAATAAAGATAATTTACTCTTTAATTTTTCATAATTTCATGGTCATAATATTATTTATCAGCACTTAAAAAAATTTATATGACCAAAAAAAAAAAACGCAAAAAAAGGTCTAAAAACTAAAACTATTCCAAGTGTTTAAGAGCTATGTTTCTAGAAAATGCAAAACAACAATTCATTATTAATTATGTATTTTTTATTTAAACATAGTACTGGATTTTTTTTTTTTTTGAAATAAGTATTTAAAGATTTTAGTAAATAAGCATACATCAACATTTCTGTTACCTATTTTTCATCCCGTTTTCACCACCAACAAGTTGAGGTTTGACCTTAGGATTTATATATTTATATGGTATAAAATATTAAAATTTATGTATTTGTGATATATTTTATATAAAAATTATATGTTATAATTTGTATAAATATAAAAATAAAAAATAATTTTTTAAAATTTTATTAAATTTATATAATTATTTTTTAAATTTTAAATTATAATATTTTTATTTTATTATTATATTTATATTATATGATCATATTGTTAGAGTGAGTAAATAAATTATGATTAAAATATTTGATAATTTATATATTTATATATTATAAATTAATAATAATTCATATATTTATATCATATTTTATAAAAAAATTACATATTATAATTTATATTATATGAAAATATAAAATATATTTTTAAAATTTTATTTAAATTTATTTATAATTTTTATTAAAATTTTAAATTATATTATTTTCATATTTTTTATTACCATAATTATTGTATTCGTGCCATTTTTATCTTTTTTATTGCCATCGTTCGCGTTTAAAAGGAAAGCAATTGCCTAATCATACCGGATAATAAAATTAAAAGACAAAAAGAAATAAACAAAGCACCTCAATTAGAAAAAAAAAAAAAATCGGCATCCTTATCTGTTGTTTCGCCGGCGGAGGGGAAAAAGATCGAAAATGTCACTGGAGGCCCCGCTTTTCCAGGAAGCACCACGCTGCGACGTCTGCAAATGCAGCTTCACCACTTTCAGACGCCGGGTACTTTCTTATTCTCAAATCTTTTTTTTTTTTAATTTTCATTTTTTATACGAATGAATTACCGATCATTTTCATTTAATTCGATGAAAATAACGAATTATATCGTCCAACAAAGGAGATTTTAACGATTAGGTTTTTTCTTTTGTTAAATAAGTAATTATTTAAATTATATTGGAGTGCGCTCCTCTGCTTTGATTTTAGCTGTTTGACTTATCTATTCACGCTAGAGATCACTTTTTCGAATGCTGGTTCAGATTTCTTTTGAATCTAATTATGTTTTTATGGTTTAATTTCGATGCGTTAAATTGGTAATTTGAAAGTATTGATAACCCACTGCAATATTAATTGAAGATTGAATCCGGTGCATGCCTGATGTTGTGAGTATAAGTTCAGAAACGTGACTGTGAATTAGTCCTTGTATTGAAACTTGAGGAACTTGGGGTCATTGGATAGAATCAATAGTTGAGGCCTAATATGTATGCTATCAGTGGGATCACTGGTTCCTGATTTTCAAATTTGTTATGCAAGACAACAGTGCATTACTAATGATGATCCAAAGTGGTGTGATCCTAATTCCTAAGTGCTACCGAACTCTACAAATCTTTTATGGTATCAACTATAATCAAAGTGATGTTATGTGTTGTAAAAGCTCATGATTATATTTCAAAGGAATTATAAATGTAAATGTACACACTTCTATGTTAGACTGATTGACATGTGGAAAATACATGAAATCATCTCAATTTTGCAGCACCATTGCCGATGTTGTGGGAAGACATTATGCCATGAACATTCATCTAATCAAATGGTTTGAGCTCCCATTGCCTCTATTTATATATTTGGGTTACCTACACATTTCTCAAGTTTTTAAAGTATGGATAAGTCAGCTTTAACTAAGCAATCTTTTGTATTCTCTTTCTTGTGTGCATATTCAGGCTTTACCACAATTTGGCATACTTTCGTCTGTTAGAGTTTGTGCAGAGTGTTTCAATAACTGTTCAGGGTAAATGTTTCCTGATTGAATGCATAAATACATATTTAAATATTGTCGATTAGAAAGAGAAGTGGGAGGGTGTGTAGCTTGGGTATGTCTTGGATTCTAGGTGTTGGTGGATGCCTTCTACTCCTGCTTCACTTTGCTTTTCTTCTTATTTTCTTGAGTACTATTTTAAGTGGCCATTTCTTAATATTTTCTTTTGTTTCTTGACATTATTTTTCTCGTGAATTTATTTGGGTGCAGATCGGCAAAAGCTGATCCTCAGCATTCTTTAGGTGGAGTTGATTCTGTTACAGATGAAGTCTTTAGATTAAACATTAGTGCAGTTATGGTTTCAAAAACTGAAGCAACTGCAGAGCATCAGCCTTTTTCAAGCATTCCAGATTGCAAGTGTGGCATGCCTTTGTGTATTTGTGAATCTCCAGCACCAACAACAGATGCACTTCCACTTAAGGTATGAATTCTTCAGTAGTTTTAAACAGCACCTCATATGCTATTCCAAGCTTCTTATGGACCCATATTTGTTTCTGCGGCAGATGAAAAACCATCCATCCTCAGTGGCTTCATCAAATCCAAAGTCAAAAAAGACTGACACTGTTCCCAAGAGTAGAGGCTCCACTTCAAACAGCAAATCTTGGTATGTTATCCTTTCAATTTTGTATTCAATCTTTGTTCTTCACTTCTTCCAAACATAATGTTCGATTTCAAATGGTTTAATATATTATTTCTGTGTGGAATTGGAGCATGGAAACTTCAACTCCTTCTGGCCCATTCTAGTACGGAACTATGGTTTAAGTTAATTGAAACCTAAAGCTGGATGCTAGTAAAATCATGGCCTTCTGGTTTGAGGCATAAAACACTGAAATCAGTTTATCTTCTCTCTTCATCTTGCTTTCCTCTTTGTGCTCGACATTCTGGTAGAAGTTACTGGAATTAATTTTAATGTAGTGGAGGATAATTGTGAGAAAGACCCACACTGTTCCAGTTTTCCTGTCTTGATTTCTATTTTCATGTCCCATTGTCCTCTTTAGATTGTCAGCAAGGACATGGTTTCTTTTTTGCTTAGGTCTCTGGCCTCTTTTGGTGGCAAATTTTACTTTCTGTTTTATGGGACTCTTTCAGACATGGTTAACATTTTGCAGTTTGGTTTTCAATCCTGGTCTGGTGACCAATGGTACTGCTGCAGATAGATCTCAGATGGATTATGATATCAATGGAGAGGTAGAAATAGAACTCTTTAATGAAATGTTTGAATAGCTATTTTAGACATTCAACTTTTCAGGGGATTTTACTTCTTTTAAATTATGTACTTGTGCATTTACTATACTCAGGGTTTAAGAGAAGCTATAAAGAATGGTGATACTGCTGCAGTCAAAAAGCTTCTAAACGAGGTATGTTATGATTTTATTCCAAAATTTCAATTAGAATGAATTTTTACGTATGATTACATGTGCAGGGTGTAGATGCAAATTACCATGACAAGCAAGGATTATCTTTGCTGCATCTGGTACTACTCTCTCTCTCTCTCTCTCTGATGTGTGTAGTTCTGTGCATGTGGCTGCTATCGTTTATGTGTTCTTGAAATTTTAATTTCCATTTCTTTCCAAATTTGTATGAAACTAATGGCAGAATTAACTTGGTGTAGGCAGCAATGTTCAATCGAACTGATATAGTGTTTGCCCTCATGGACTGTGGAGCAAGCATGTATTACAAGAATGCACAGGGTAATTGACCGTATGCTGAGTTTTGTGGCATTCCTGATTTTAAATATGTCTATCTACAAATTGAAGTTACTCATGATAGAGTTTTAAGGTTACTGAAAGTTGAAAATGTCAATAAAAACTCCTTTGATTCTGGATAAAATCAAGTGTGAAAAAGAAAAAAAGGGGAAAAGACAAAGAATTCTCACCTTCCATTTGAAAGAAGTATCATACTCATGGTATAGCTTTGTTGAATGACGCTGGTTCTTAGAAGTTCATAATTGAGAACTCTTCATCCTTTTTCATTTCTGATTTAGTTGGTTGCATGTCTGGCTCTGATTTGCATGAATCGTTTTGTCTTGTGATTATGCTTTAACTTTTTTGAACCACATCAATTCCAGGAGAAACACCACTGGATTGTGCACCAGTCACTTTGCAATACAAGATGCAAATGAAGATGAAAGAAAGCGAGCAGGGTGAAATCAACTAGACAAGGGAATTTGAAGGAAGATACATAATTTACTCCGTTAACCAACATGCACGAGCTCGAGCTGTCAGCTTCAACAAGATATTATTGATATAATGCTTCAAGCTGTCAGCTTCAACAAGAAACTATAGTTATAATGCTGGAAGTGTTTGTATTATATCTGTTAGACAAGCTGTCAAACAGGCAGCAGGACATGGAGGCTCAATCAAAATGCTGTTTTTTCCTTTATTTTGATCAACAATCAGAATGCTGTTGCGAGGCAATAAAAGTTCCTACTAAAATACTAAACTCGTTAGTTCTGTTACTATTCTGGTAACATGTAACATGCGCGAAATACGATGGGCCACTTCGGTCGGTAGATGAGCTGGCCGTTTTAGTCTTCCTTTTCCCTGTTTTAATCGTTGGGTTTGTGACACAATTTCTCGATACCCCTTAGATTTTGCCTTTGAGACATGTTTTGTATGCAACTGTTAAATCAAGTTCATTGATTGCATATATGCTTGTAGACTGTAGTTTATAGTGGGGTCGGGAAACAGACTTGAGCTGACAAACATTGACCTAGCCCTCGTCTGTTTGTGTTAGATAAGATATACGGACCATTAGCCATATGTTTGCCGAAAGATGTTACAACGTCTACCTTTATGATTCGGTCATCTACTTTAAATGAAAGACACATGTAAATTGCAACAGCTGCCTTTTTCTTTATTTAATCTACTTTGCATACGACATGGTCAAAATGTTTGCTCGATGTTGGAAGCATGGATAAGGGTTTAATTGTTTACATTAATTCATTCAACAAAATCTTCTTGTAACCATGAGTTGCCAGCATCGAATAATGGTCAAACCTGGCCAAGTCGTGCTGCGGCGAACGGATAGGAATTCCCTGAACAAAAGACCGATGCTCACCTCATTCTTTTGCATGGCGTCTGCATGCATCAAAGCTGGCTTTTGGGTAACCAAGGTCCCTTTTCCTGGAAGGCAAACCATGGCTGTAAATTTTCTCTATTGTTTCTTATCTTTTTCTTTATATATTTTTCCCACCATTGCCTTTCTCCAACTTAAAATCGTAAAGTAACATTGGAAATGGTGGTGAGTTGGTGGGATCTGACTGGGATTGTGGAAACTAAAGTGTGATGGGGCCATTTCTAACGTGTCATGTGAAAAAGCAAAGATTTTGCATATATATGGGATGATGATCTCACCTTTCTGTTCCACCTAACATTCTAAAATTAATCTGCTCTTTTATTTAATGGATGATGTGTGATGATTAAAATGGGTGATTGCCGCATTGGCCTTTGCTTTTTATGACTGAACATAATCATATCCTTTAATCGAGGGCACACATCAAATACAGCATGAATCAGCCAGCAGTAAGCAGAGCACCTTCAGGGAAGCACGCTCATCCCTTTCCTTCCAAAATTTTTTTACTACCTACTTATGTCCATTTAAAAAAAAATGAAAGATACTTGATGAAATCGACCACCGTCCTTCTGAGCTGTGACTTACACGATTGCACGCGATAATGATCTGATCAACCCCCCCCACATCGCCTTTATTCCAAAGCTTACTCACACACCGACAAAAATCCAATAAAGCAATCCACTATCTTCCCCCTCTCGGGCTTGTTGGCTTGGTTCCCCGTCATTTTATATAAGGTCCCTAGATGCTCCTCTACCTCTCCCCCTTTCTTTTCCTTTCTTCTACCTTCTCGCTAATTGCTACTTTCCTTTCCCTTCACTGTTCTTTCTTCTTGTTCCAATGGGTTTCTTTGTAGAGGATCCAGGGTTAATTGTAACCCATCTTCTTAACAAAACAGCTGTTGTTTTAGCAGTGTTAAGATGGTTCTTGTCTTGGGCTCTTTGGTTTAAAGACATAAGCTGCTTCTTTGCTACTACTTTTTCATCTGATTCCAAAGACAACTCTTCTTCTTCTTCCTTTGTTTCTTCACAAATGATTAGAGACAGTCTAGGGCTGACAACCTTTGAAGATGCTAAGGAAAGGGTGCCTTGCGTTTCTGACACATGTGCAGTCTGCTTGAGTCAGTTGAGGGTAGGTGACGACGTCAGGGCATTGAGGAACTGCTGCCACGTGTTTCATAAAGATTGCATTGACAGATGGGTTGACTATGATCAAGATCACGACCATGATTACGAGAATGATCACGAAGATAATCGCAAGACTTGCCCCCTTTGCAGGGCACCTTTACTCACTTCTTCTCAAAGCATGGGCTGGCCTGAGAATGAAACCAGCTGGGCTGTTGAGCAGCTGCTCTACCTATTTGGCGATGATCTCCTTCCTTGATCCACATAATTATCCCTTTTTTTTTCCCTAGAGTTTCTTTCTTTTTACATATTGTTTACTCAATTGATATTGATAATGGAGATAGAGCTTGAAACAATAATTATTGTATATTTAGCAGTCAATTGATAGTTTGGGCATGGTGAAAAGGGTCAATTTTGTTCTCTGGGTAGCTATTGAGGAAAGGAGAAAAAAAAGCAAAGAAAATAGTCAAATGGTCTAAACTCCGAAGCTTGACCCGTCGAATATTTGTATATATAAATCAAATACCTCTTACAAGTTTTTGTATTCTTTTCTCATTTTCATAAACTTTGAGTTCCAAATAACTATAAAGGGTTTTTTTTTTCTCCCAATTATGGTAGTTTGCTTGATTCCACATTGGTCACAAATTTCTAAGTTGGAAAACAATTTTCTTTAATGCTTCATAGTCCCCTTTCTCCTTTGGCTAACCATACATTCTAGTTCATCATGAAAGAAAATTTTCATTATCAGCAACAACTACTATACAATGTGAACCTTGCTAATTCTACTAGGAGCAAGTAATATCCACATTACAGGCAGTAGGCAATATGGATACAGCAGCTGTGCTGAAGAATTGCCTGCTGTGGTAGTCAAAGCATGAGTTTTCACAATCCGTTTCCCAAAACTTTTGAAAGGTGGGGTGGTCTTATATCATGTAGAGGTGAAGGAGTTCCGATCATCCAATAGGAAGAGAAAGCGAAACCTTGAATCGAATGGTACGACAGAGAAGCTTCGAGCACCAAGGAGCCTCCACTTATTGCGCGATAAACAATCTCTAACCATGGAGGTTTGTTGTGGCGATAAGAATTGACAAATCCAATCAGGTAAAAGTGAGTCTTGGACAAGTCCTTTGGCAAAACAATGCAACAATTTAGGCACCAATAGCTTCCCTTTGTTGCTTATACCAACAGATGCCTGAATGTAATCTTTCATTGACCTTTCTAGCAACTCATTCACATTTTCAGCCCTGAAAAGCCTCACCTAATTATATAATGAGGACAACAGGAAAACTCAGTAAAACTAGAAGCCAATCATATTAATTAGAAATTTCATTATCGCTAATCAGTTATTACTGAATTTTCAATAAAATTGGCAGATTCGGATGCTATTATAGTCAAGAGAACTCAAAATATGAGATGGGGAAATGAGAAGCAAATGAGATCTTACCGCAGGTGAAGAATGCAAACCACAACTTAAAGCAAAATAAACAAGAGGCTCAGGATGATCAATTTTATACTTCTGCTGCTCGTCAGATGCCTTGATTTTCTGAAGTGCAAGAACCGCAGCCTAACATGATTATAATTAGAAGTTATATATGTCATAGAATACTGTCAAGGAAGAATCCAATACAAAATAGAGAAAAAAATATCCCCAGAAAAAGGAAATGGGATATGGGGGAAAAATGGATTCCCTATGGAGAAAAGAAAAAGAAAGTAGGTCTAATCTCAAAAAACTTAAAAATTTGAAGATGGAAGCCCCAGAAAGTCTATTATAGAGCATCCGTTACTACGATAATTTACCATCCTTCCAAAGATGCCAATACTTTAAGTACTGGTATTTGTTCTCTCTCTCACTCTCTGCGCATAATATCCCATGGCATGGTGCATGACCAGTCATTTTTTTTGAAGTAATATGTCCAGTCAAATTTTGGATAAAAGATTAAGGTGCCTCAGCATAGCTACTATTACATTATCAAAAATTCTTTTGGAAAGGGCTAGCAACTGCACATAAATGGAGTAATTATACGTACAATTTGTGGTCGGTAAGCAGCAGGATTCATTTTTAGAACAGTGCATTCTATGTCAGCTGCACTCACTGAGAGTCCTCCAACAGTGTAGGCAGCCTGCATATCATGGCATGCAGTTAGCATTTGTTCATAGCAGCATACAGAGGGAAGGAAAAAGGAAGTGTGGAGGGACAACAGGAAAATTACAGCACCAAACCTTCTGCATTAAGGAAAATAGTTTGATATCATTTCTTGGAACTCCATATGCTAAATATGCCTGAGAAGACAGAGATATAAGAGAAAAAAATCAGAGATTCTAATTCAGTTAAGGCCTAAGAAGTAGTATCTATTGATCTAGAAGTCATGAAAATGCACAGGATGGTCACAAAATGAGGTCTGAGACCTTGTCTGCACTTCTTGCCAAGACTCCTCATCTATTGATAGAATCCCAACTTATCAAAGCTTAGATTGTGTCTATATATATTGTTTGTATTTGTGGGAGAGAGGGAGATTAGAATGCATAGATTGGAAATGAGTGGAAGATTATTACATGCATAATCAAAGCATTATACAGGTTAATCCAAAATGCCAGCTTCTCGTTGTAACTCATTTGAGATGGATCCACTCTGGCCAACTGCTCAACAAGCAATCTGTAGGCAAACAGAGAGGAATAATAAAAGCAATAACTGATCAAGCTCACTACCTAAAGCCTTTCTACTTAAGGCTTTATGATAAAATAGCTCCAAGAATTCCACTTCCTTACTCTAGAGTGAGTGCTCGGAAGCCAATGAAATGAGGATATAAAAACTAGTCTAAAAATAGGATTTAAATAGTTGACCTGAATCTTTTTAGAGCCATAGCTGCGTATTTAAGTTCTTTCTTCCCAACAGACAACCATGAGACTTCAACTGCTGTGCTATAGGTCCCAATAGTACTTGTCCAGTCCTCTTTGCAAGAGACTCCATATGGATCATATGCCCCACCTCCTGAGGGACTCCTCAGTAAAGAAGTTGCTTTGGTTGAGTCTGAGAAAGATTCCAAAAAATTGGCGAGAGGACAGTGAGGTGAAGCGGGTGACACCAAACACTCGGAAGAAGAAAGCTTGCATGAATCTGCTAAGAAAATGAAAATATCTCTCATACGCGTCACCATTTCTTCAGATAGCTGATTGGGTTGATGCCAAAGGTTCTCAACAATATAATTGTTATCAATAACAGCCTCCAACAGAGACATATCATCCACGTTTTCTTCTGGTTTCTCTTCATTACAAGTTTTTGCAATCTGAAACATAAAATAGACTGTTAATCATCTTTCCTTTTAACTCTACAGGATAAGAGATACAATTGAAAGGAATGTACATAAGGTGAATTATTCTAAACAAGTTGGCATAAAAAAGCCCATGAGTAACTCGATATGATAATCAACTATTTTAAAGCCACAGGATCACCAGCATAACACTTTAAAGATATAGATGACAGTACTGGTTCTGATAAGCAAGCCAGATAGCTATCAAAAAGAGATATTGCAGAACATGGCAAATGCTTTAAACGGTACTCAGCAAGACGTCGCTCATTCCTCTCCTGACTAAGTTGATATTGTAAAGAAACAAATTCCTGCTCAAGCTTTGATACTGTAATCTCCAGAACAGCGATGCTATCTAAAAGCTCCTGGGCCTGAAATCCAAATTTAGGAGATTGAGAAAAGAAATAAAAGTAGAAGAGAAACCATGCATTTGGCGGCTGACCTTATCTGGAAGTTTGCCAGGAGAATTTGGAGAAGGTGAATCAGAGTGTTCAATAGCACTTGCTAGAGCCAAGTGCAAATCAGTCTCTTCCTGCAACTGCTGCTGCAACTTTTTAACCTGTATCATCCAAGTGGTAGCATGTGGCATGAGCATGAGATATCAATCCTGCACAGAGTTGGCTGTTACTGGCTCCCTAAGAAAAAAATTTAAAACTTGAATATCATGGTCTTCAAAAATCATTCATTAGCTCAAGTTTTACTCTCTCTCTCTTTCTCTCTCTCTAGCTGCATTGTCTTAGTAACAAAGCTCTACTAATCACATTCATGTTACTTGTGTTTCTTTTTTCTCCCTATCACTCAAATCCAATCCAATGCCAATGCTTCTTTGCTTCCTTGCTGAATAAATCCAAACCAACCTTATATAAGCTTAAGATTGATGTAGATGAGGAGTGCAGTGACATGGAACAAAAAAGAGTTCATTGGCTTAAGGCACAATCATCTTGCCTCACGTTTTAGTAAAACAGAGAACCAAGGAAAATGCTCTAGAATTCACTAATCATAGCCAATCCCTTGTCTCATGTTACCGTAGTTTGCTGTTCATAATTTTAATTATCCTTCTGAATACACTTCTTTAGAACTTTCCAGACTAGTGCGAGCTTCAACAATTCAGAAATGTCCCCCCCAAAAAAAAAAAAGAGTTTTATTGTATCAAAGAATCCCATGGCATTAACTTTGACCAACTAAAGAGCCACATGACCTTAATCCAAAACTTAACATCCAATCTCCAACAAATTTTTTTATGAGAGAAACAGGAGAAGGAAAAAAATCTAGTGAAAGAAACCGATTTCATCACTGTAAAATAAAGGGGAATATGCAGAGACATGTAGAATCCTCTTACTTCTTGTTCAAGCTGGTATTTGTAATGACACATCTGCTCACTTTTCTCTTGTCCACTCCTTTCCTGGGTCTTAGCATCCTGGTAACAACATGATTTCAGAATCTAAAAGTCTTTTAACAAGTCTAAATAGAGACACCATAATAACTCCTCGCTTGCATTGAAAAGGTAACAACTTCCAGATAATAATTTGCATTCAGAAAATTAATAACTATAAAATTGGGAGCAGAGAATTAGCTTTGCAAATTACCTTTAACTCACAACAAGAGTTACAAGGGTCATCCCCAGCTGAAAATGACCTGCTCCAAACCTTGCCACTTTTCCATTGCAAATATCTATTAATAGAGTTTGCCCTGCAAAACCATCCACCCATACTACATTTACCATTACAGAAACAGAAAGACAAAAAAAAAAAAAAAGAGGACGAAGAAGAAGAAGAAAAAGACCCACCAGTTGATTGGTAGAATAAAACCCCCATCATTACCACCATTGCAATCTCCATTCCCATTGATGCTATTCTCGTTAGGATTTTGAGGATGACGGTCTTCATCCAAAGCTTCTGCCTTTAGACAAAGCATCATTCCAATAAAGAATAAAAATCTAATGAACACCCAGATGCAAGCACAGCAAGTAAATTTTAGTTGAAGTTCACCATCATTGATTCATGTCTTCTTCTTGCACTGCTGACATATAGAATCCAATAACTCCACTCCACAAATAAAGACTACCCTTTAAAAAAAAAAAAAAAAGAAAATCATCAAGGAATTATTTTCAAGTGCAAGAATGAAACAAAAGGCCAAACTACAAAGAGAGAGTGGGGTATAGGGGGGATTTTGGGATTTAAATTGTAATATTAAGTGGAGAAATGTTAATAGTCAGGGGAAAGTGACCCCAGTACGACAGTGGATGCAAATGTGGATCTATCATATGGATCTATTATGTGATATGTCCCTCTCTGATTTTCGAGCAGGACTCTTCATTCACCGACAATACGAACATGCCCTTTCCTCTTTTCAGTTGTTTTCATTTCTCTGTTTTTTCTTCTAACTTTCACCTTTCAGTTCAAAAACGATGTCGTTTTAGTATAAAATGTCGGTGTTGCTTGCATGACTTGTTAGAAATATTTTGGGGGGATTTTATTAGTTTTTCTCATTGACTTTTTTTTAAGGCATTAAGACCGTGGGATTTTTTTTTTTTTTTTGAAATAAAGACCTTTAGATTTTTAATTTAACATTTTTCATATTTATTTAAGGAAAATTATCCTATACTTATTAAGTTAATTATAGGGGAAAAAAAGATCTTTAATCTTATCTAATTCTTTCTTTCATTTTGGTAAAAAAGAGAACACGTGAAGTATGCAAATGGACCAAAAATGGGCCAGATTGTCATGCAAACTTGTCAGACCAAATCCATAACCTACATCCTTTACAGGCCTGAGCCCAATATCAGAGCAGCATAAGGTCCAAACAAGCGACTTGGCCGAGCAGCTCTTACCGAAAATATTTTCGTCCAATGTTTCCAGCCCTCCAAAATATTCAAGTAGCTCTTATCAAAGCTGGCCTAGGCAAACGGTGAAGGTAACCATACCACTAAACGCCGGATGGCTACCAGACTGAAGGCAATTTTCGGCCGGATATCCATGACCAGATGAAAGACAATGGTGGCCCTCTCACCGTCAACATCTTTTCTTAGTCTCCAACCTGATCCCAATTCCCTGGAGAATATGCCTTCTTCAGTAACACTGCCAGCCCCTTGTGGAAGGTTCCATCATTTACACCAATGTTTACGATGCCAATTTTGTCAATTGTCGCTATTGGAGAAGTTGGCTGGCCAACTGATGGTGACCTCAATGCAAGCATAGACTATGCCCGCAGGTTCAACCAAGCCCTTCTCAACAGAATAATTCAATACCAAGGCAGCCCAAGACGCCGAACCCCGCCTGATGTTTACATATTTTCACTCATTGATGAAGACAACAAGAACGTTGAGCCTGGAAACTTTGAGAAGCATTTGAGTATCTTCATTTACGATGGAAGTATCAAATTCCCATTGGATATGGGCATTGGAAGAACTATCGTCCCAGCCAAAGGTGTCGAATATTTGGCCAGGCAATGGTGTGTTTTGTCGTCTTCGGCAAGCATTTCAGACCCCAATTTGGCACAAAGCATTAGCTACGCTTGCCTATACGCTATTGCACAAGTCTTAATTGGCTATGGATCCTCATGTGATTTTATCTGGATGCCAAAAGCGACGCTTCTTATGCGTTTAATATGTAATATCAGACCATCAATCAAAAGAAAGCTCATGTTCATTTAGCAACTTATCTGTCATTGCTCATTACCAACGTGGATCCATCTCAACTACCTTGTCATTTCGAGATCATGATCGACACAGGAAAACATGAACTGGCTCCCTCCTCTAATAAATCTTCAGCTGCAAGAGTAGAAAGCCAACGTACAGCTCTGATACTGCCATACTGGTATCGACATTAGTTATTTGTGGTGTTCATTGAGTGAGTTCGTTATAGCCTTGCAGCAGTACTCAACCAGGCAATGATCTCGTTCATTTCTTTTGTTTGCTAAGGTTAAAATTTTCCTAGACAGCATTGATCATTTTAACTCATTTTACATTGTAAAATAACCATTGATTCGATGGATTCATTGTTGAATTTAGTTAGAACTTTAATCGGAGTCCAAATCTCAAAATAACTCGGGCCCCAACCATAATTCAATCGAACTTCCTTTATCTGAAACTAGTTTTATAATTTACACCCATCAAAAGAACAAGTAGATATTTGCAAAAAGCCCAAAGTTGGCCTAAAATAAATTCACAAAGCAATGGCCAGGACATAATAACACACAAACCCATATGGCAATTGGCTTTGGGTTTCTATTTAAAAATACAATTCCATATCTACAAACCGAGCGAAGCGACTTGGAGTCGTTGAGCGGCGTGGGCGTGCCTATCGCCCAATGCCTATAACTTATCAGCATGTCGGCTGCACATCCCAAAGTCAAGTAAAGGCACTTTTTTTTTTAAATTCTTAATCTAACTTTAAATTTTTATTTTATTTTATTATTTATTTAATTAAAAATATTATGTGCATATTAAACTCATAATTTTTAAATATTAAGTTAAATAATATATCAACTAATCTAAAGATAGTCGGCTAAAGGCATATTTGTTTCACTTTTTGATCGAGCTTAGTTTATCAGCAACTTCCTACCAACCTGATAATTGTTTTTTGCACTTTCTTTTTGTTCTTCATGCAATTACAGTTCCCATTTCCCATATAAAAATAATCCTACTTCCCCGATAATTCAGATTCTCACTGCCGACCCTGTCGTCCTCTCTCTTTTTGTCATATTCCATTTTTTCGCCATTGTCCCAAAATATATCTCCTTCTCCACTTGATTAAAAAGGCAAAAAATTTGGTCCGTTCTATTATTAACATTATTTATGAAATCCCTCAGATTCTTCTCCTAATTTCTAAATATCCTTCAAATTTCCTTTAATTTAAAACCATTTAAAAATAAATATTCTATAATTATATTCTCTTTTTTTCATTATAATTGGGTTTGCCGCGCAACCGTCACTCCTACCCTCTTCCATTCCCCCAAATCAAAGAACCTCTTTTTTTTTTTGGCATCTAATTTTTATTAATTAATCGAATTATTTAACCCAAATTATTTTGTTGGCTGCAAAATCATCATTTTTTCGTTCTTGTTTTTGGGGGAATGTTGGAATGTGAAAAGCTTCGTTATGTTTAAAGAAGCGAAGCAGCGGTGTTCGTTTCTTCTTCAACCAAATCCCTAATCTTAACGGTAAAGATCGTTTCATGGCGTTGTTAGCTCGTAACGATCCGTTTTTCAGACAACTGCACATCTTCCCGAACGACCAACGCCGTTGCTTCCAATTCCGTGGCAAACTTGACATGCTCGAAAATTACAATGTCGGCGGTGGCGCTCTCAAGTTTAACAAACCCGCCGCTCGCTTAAATTTGACTCTCAAAAGTTGTTTCGAGGATTCTCGCAGAACCTGGAATCACAAAACACGCGCCTTTGCTTCCCAGTTGGCGCGTGATTTACAAATTATCACCTATAATGAACCCCAAAAGATGGCTAAGTTGGCGATTGATGCTCGTGGCACGTGTCAAAGAGGGAAACCTCTTGACTTTCCTAACAAGCCTGCGGTTGCTGTCGATGTCGATGAAGGTACAAACTTTTTCCTGCCATTTCTTCGCCTTCTTTAATTTTTTTTTTGGAAATTTTTTGTATTTTATAATGTAATTATTTTTTTCCCTTGTTTTCTCGTATAAGCAGTACTGGGAAACTTTGTTTCGGCTTTGAACAAATTTATAGCGGATCGTTATTCGTTGAATCATTCGGTTTCAGAGTACCATGTTTACGAGTTTTTCAAGGTAAGACCTTTTTCATGAATTTTTTTATTATTTTTTGTTGCGAAGAGTAGTAGAAAGAAGTCATGTGTAATCGGCAATTTTTGGTGGTGTAAGTCAATTAGTGTTGAATTTTATTCAATTGGTGAGAAACCTCCTTTTTGTGTCATGAAGATCTTTGATATGATTGGTGTTAGCTGCTGGCTAAGTTTTTAAGGGTTTTAAGCAGAGTCCAATCTTTTGTATTTTTTTGTGTGTGAATAGTTTCTATGTGAATTCTGCTAGCTATTTTCATTATAAGTTGTGTGAGTAATGGTTTCATTCTGTTTAATAATGTGAGATGCATTTGCTTCTATGTTCAAATCGCAGTAACGTACTTGATAGTTTACTCTGTGGTTGTGGTCTTTCCTCTTTAATAGTTTTACTTGTGTTGTTTGTATAAGTTTCTGCTTTTGGTATCATCTGTTGTTCGGATGTTGGTTACATTTCTTTAATATGTATTCTGACGCATTTTTTATTTCTGTTACAGGTATGGAACTGTTCTCGTGATGAAGGTATCACTAGACATACTTACACAGATGCTATCATTGTTTTATGGATTGCCAAGTGTTTTGTTATCTTTTCTGATAAACTTTTAATCATTTGGAGTTTCTTTTCTTGAGTTTGTATTGGCTAAGGATTACTTCTGAACATACTCTGTTTTCTTGTTTTGACAGCTGATATCCGTGTCCATGAGTTCTTCAAGACACCATATTTCAAGAAAGGTATCGACCCCATACCAGGTGCTCAGAGGGCAATTCATAAGTTATCAAGATTTTGTAACCTCTCAGTCGTAACGTATGTATTCATACTATTCTTGCTTAATAATGTCTTTACTTCTGGCCTGTGCACTAAGCAGGCCTTTTATGTATGAGTAGGTCTCGGCAGAATGTGATTAAGGACCATACAATTGAGTGGTTAGAGAAGCACTATCCTGGACTGTTTCAGGAGATTCACTTTGGCAACCATTTTGCTCTTGGTGGCGAGTCAAGACCTAAGTCAGAAATATGCCGGTATGCCCACTAACCCTTAGACCTTAACATTGCTTCTGTATGTTTTGGTATTCTGCTTTCTTTTAATAACCTCAAGTGCAATTGTATCTTAATTTTTATGGTGCAAGTATAGCAAATGTCTTTTCCAGATAGTTGCCTTTATGATCTTATTAATTTCTTGGAGATAGTCACTGCTGACAAGTTTTTCTTGATGAGTTTTCTCTTGCAGGTTGTTAGGATCCAAGATTCTAATTGATGATAACCCAAGATATGCTGTTGAGTGTGCTCAAGTTGGAATCAGAGTTCTGCTTTTTGATTATGAGAACTCTTATCCCTGGTGTAAGACACAGTCAATTGATCAACATCCTTTGGTGACTAAAGTACATAACTGGGAAGAAGTGGAGCAACAAATAGAGTCTTGGATTCTTAGTTCTACTATCCTTTAAGACGGACTTTATAGAGACTCTTACTTCATAGCATTATGAATTGTGTATCATACTCTCAACATTTGACAGTGCCAAAAAATTTAGTCTTTAGACTTCTGATTGTTCGGGGTGAATCAACCATAAGGAAACCAGCCAAATTAGGGTCATGGTGCATGCGTTGAGGACAAAACCGGAAGAAACATGGGTGAAACACTGCTTTTTTATTAGGTTTCATCTTGACTTGCAAGATGCAGGGAAAGCAGTTGCCAAATGTTGAAGAACATTGGTGTAATTAGAAATTCATGACTTTGGAGGTCATTATTTCATGATTGCACTCAATGAACAACAGTTTCTTTTTAGCAATGCTCCGTCTAGTTTCTCTAACATATGTGTGAAAAGTGACAAATAAACAAGAAATCAGAATGTAGCATGTATCTTTTTCTCGTACGTTTTTCTTTAATTTGTTGTGCACGTTTAATATTTCACTTAATTGATTTGAATTTTCTGGTTTAAAACCAGCATTTGGCTGCAAGAATATATCAAGGATATCGGACGAAATGATGGTCACTCAGTTATCTCCGTCACTTTGGGCTTGAAATATATCAAAAGCTGAACCAACCAATAGTGACGGTTAACATATCTAAGTAATGGACCAAAAAAATGAAAATATATACAAGAGTCTGGTGAAAATTTCCTGGAACATATACTTAAGGTTGAATAGGCCTTAACAACAAGTAAAAGCTGAGACAATTAAAAGTTAACAAAAATTAAATTCAAAGCGTTTTCAATCATGGGGGATTAGGATAGAAGGAAGAGATATATGTCATAAGTACCGAGCTCCAATTGCTGATGGAACACAAACAGTAAGGGCCATGGCAACTTAAGTCTACTAGTGAGAAAGAACAAGTGGTGCAAAATGAGTTGAGGTACCAAGAGAGAGCCCTGGGGATGTGCCTAGTGTAATTGTTTGAGGAAAATGTCTTTTTTAATCCCCTTTCATTATAGTAAAAATTTTGTAATCGTTAAATGTGGAGGTAACTCTCACATTTAAAATAAATCTTCATAAATTTCGTGTGTTATTTTTCTTTACATTTATTATAGTTTTATAAGAATAAGAAAAGGACTTTATTTCCAACAGTATTATCCTGATCTTTTTCATTAACCAGGCAATCTTTGGTTCTGTTATTGAGGCCTTTCATGAATTAGTATGGACAATTCACTTTCCGGAGCAAAACTAACTCATATATAGTCACTAAGAAGGAAAATTAGCTTAAACTAACTAGAAGATTTCCATGGAGTAAATAGAGGAAGAGGCTAAACTACAACATTGCAAAAGGGAAATTATTTCATTCTTGAATAACAACCCATTATATAGAGGCAGTGGCTGAACAACTCATTATGCTGTTAAATTGAACCTTGTTAAACATAGGATTTTTGTTAGTAGCTTATGTATTGCTCCCTGGCAATGGCATATTTAATTGATTTGTAGTTATCTCAAAATCAAAACATTGCACTACAATTAGTTTCCTAGTGATATTAAACTTCTGCAATATGACTTTCCCCTTCTTCATGCATTCATCCTCCAATCGTTGGAGACAACAAAAGGCTGAGAAACAGTTGGCTTGATTTCATCTAACATTTTTCCTGTTCATTACTGAGAATTAGAAATATGCTTAGCTGCTATAGAGGTTTATGAATCTCGGGTGTTGTTGCCAACAGTCACGAGGTATGTAAGTAGAGTTTTGGATTCTTAATTTCGTGACTAGAGTTCATGTCCTGACAGCTTTAAATACCAAAAAAAAAAAAAAAAAAATCTTGGGTGTTGTTAGTGAGTGTCGACCAGACTAAATCACTAAACTCACATTGCAAGAAAGTCTCAAGTTAGTTATAGTTTGATCAGAACCACAAAGAAAAGCGATGTTTGCCCATGTTTAGCAATGCCAAGTTAGCTAAATTGGACCTAATTTAGCTGCAACATTTACATGCGGTTATAAGCATTTTTAGTTCAATGGTGGAATTTTGAAAGCTATATGGACAAGAACTCGCGGGAAATGCGGTTTGGAGAGAGAAAATCTCTATCATTCATTTTTTTTTTTTTTGTAAAAATAACTAACTTTTAAATGGAATGCCTGAAAGCTCTCCTGTCCAGGTTCCCTTTCCAACTTGTATGACATTAAAGATCGAACAAAGAGCAAGGAGCTATAGGAATATATATTGTCATTGGGTTTCTTGATTTCACTCTCTGCCTTAGCTTGAATCTAAGGCAGAGAGACCTCTGCCTGAAGCAAATAAAACAATGGTTTTCCAAGATTTTGACATAATACACGAACGTCGAAGGCTTGAGAGACAACAGAAATTCAGAAAGAGGGTTGGCATTGCCGTGATAGTAACCATTGTCCTCATTGGTTTAATTGGGGCCGGAATCTTTCTTGTTGTCTCTACTGAGAAAAAAGAACAAGGGAATTCTGACAGCACTAAAACGCAAAAAGCTCCAGCTACAAACCAGGTGTCAAGGTCAGAAAAGCTCATAAAAACTATTTGCAATGATACCTCTTACAAGGAATCATGCGAGAGCGCCCTTAAGAAGGCAGTGAAAGAGCACCCTTCTTTGGCTCAACCCAAAGATCTTCTCAAGTCTTCAATATCTGCAACCGCTGATGAGCTTGATAAGGCCTTTAGCAAAGCAAGCTCATTCGAATTCAACTCCCCAGAGGAGAAACAAGCATTCAATGTTTGTAAAGAAGTCATGGCCAATGCCAAGGAGGAATTAGAGACTTCTATGGCCAAAGTAGGAGACAAAGATATAGGGAAGCTGTTATCAAATGGTGAATTGAACAACTGGCTAAGTGCGGTAATGTCTTACCAAGAAACCTGCATTGATAGCTTCCCTGATGGAAAATTGAAGACAAATATCAAGAGTACCCTGAACTCTAGCCAGGAGCTCACCAGCAATTCCCTTGCCATGACTAGACAATTTTCTTCATACATTTCTTCCGTGATGGAGATGCCAGCAGCCAGTCGCCACCTTTTAGAATCCAGCTCTCCTTCAGTGGACAAGGATGGACTTCCCAACTGGTTGAACCATGGCGAACGCAGGATGTTGAAGGGTGCAGATACTGAGAAACCAACACCAAATGTAACTGTGGCAAAAGATGGTAGTGGACAATTCAAAACCATTTCTGAAGCACTTGCTGCCATGCCAGAAAAATATGATGGAAGGTATCCTCAGCCTCTTTGAAATCCTGTTCATTTCCCCTAATTTTCATAATATGATTTTCTAGCATGCTTCAGCAGTAAGTATCCTTTTCTTGGTGAACATATTTATTGAGACAATCTATTTCTCCACTTTCAAAACGCAGGTACGTGATATTTGTTAAGGCAGGAATATATGAGGAGACTGTACACGTAACAAAGAAAATGGTAAATCTTACCATTTATGGTGACGGATCACAAAAGACCATTGTCACTGGGAACAAAAATTATGTTGATGGAGTTCCCACTTACCTGACAGCAACTTTTGGTATGCTGATAACTTTTCACACAGCATTCTAAAGTACTTTTACCTTAGGACTAATTATATGGTATAGCATGCAGTGTGAGATAAATCTGCTCAATTTTAAAGAAGTGATTTTCGAAATTTTTTTTTTTTTTAATTTTTCGAGCATTTCCAGTAGAGGGCTCTAGAGGCCATCCTAAACTCATAATTCTGAGAACTTGTTAGTTTTCAGTAATCCAGAAATATTAAAGGAAATGACAAGGGAAGAGAAAAAAGAGTTATCTCTTCTAATTGGTGAAAAGTTTAGAAATTAACAAAGAAAACAAAATGGTAAAACCTTTATATTGTATGGCTGCAGCTCCATTCCAATATGAAATTTCAAATGAATGACACAATGATGTGTAGCTGAAATGAAATTTGACATTTTGTTTTTGTTTCAGTGGCTTCCGGTGATGGCTTTTTGGCAAAAGCAATGGGATTCAGAAACACTGCTGGGCCTGAGAAGCATCAAGCAGTGGCCACAAGAGTTGATGCTGATAGGGCAATTTTCCTCAATTGTCGTTTTGAGGGATACCAAGACACCTTATACGTACAAACTCATCGCCAGTTCTATAGAAGCTGTGTGGTCGCTGGCACCATAGATTTCATCTTTGGAGACGCAGCTGCTGTGCTCCAGAACTGCTTGATTTACATTAGGAAGCCCATGGACAACCAAAAGAACATTGTTACTGCCCAAGGGAGGAAGGACAAATTTGAAACAACAGGAATTGTCCTTCAAAACTGTAAAATTTTACCAGATGTTTCGTTTACTTCTGTTAAGAGTCAATTCAAGAGTTACCTTGGCAGGCCCTGGAAGGAGTACTCCAGGACCATCGTAATGGAATCACTGATCGAGGATTTGATTGACCCTGCTGGATGGCTAGAATGGGAAGGCACGTTTGCACTTAACACCCTTTTCTATGCTGAGTACAACAACGACGGACCTGGAGCCAAAACTGATGCCAGGGTCAAGTGGCCAGGCCGCAAGGTTATTACCAAGGATGAGGCCATGCAATTTACCGTAGGAACTTTCTTACAAGGGGCTTGGATCAATGAAACTGGCGCTACCGTTCGTATGGGACTGAGCAGTTAAGGATTCATTTCTGGTCGTTTAGTTATCTCAAGAAACGGGACTAGTAAACAGAGATTTATTTATATATATTTTTTCCCTCATATCTCTAGCATCGTTTCTTTGAGCTGGAAAATTTGTGCGAAAATGACATTTTATTGATTTTCCTTATATAATCTTGAACTAAAGAAAAAGTAATCGCAAGCTATGATATTGTATATCAGAATTGTTAGTACCAAAAACCAAATAGAAAAAGACAATGTACTATTATATAGATAGTTTTCTCGCGTTGTTTCATCTTCGTTTTTTTATTTTTTTTTTATTTTCAAGAGATTGTTAATCTTTTCGAATTGATCCTAGTATATAATAATCCATGTTTCATATATTTTCGATTCTATACTTTTTCTAAAATAGATTAACTGCAACAAAGCTTTCTTGCCTCCCAATTGTCAGCATTGGTAGCAAGGTAAAGCAGGCTGGTTCAAATTAATGCTTTTATTTTGTTAACATTTCTCTTAAATTATATTGAAATATTTAGTATGATATTTAAATTTTTAAAATTTCTAACGTCATGTTTAAATTATGATTCTATTCATTATTATGATACTTACATGTTTAAATTATGATTCTATTCATTATTATGATACTTTACTTAATACGATTAACTTCAAATGATAAAACTTGACAAATGAATAATCTTTCAAATATCATATTAATTAATAAATTTATATATTATATATTATATTAAAAAAATTTTAAATTTAAATATTACATTAAATTTTTTACTATAATTTAATAACATTCCTCCGCATTAACTCTATTTCTTTTGGCATTCCAAGAATTGATAATAAGACAGTAAACCGTGGGGTGGAATAATTGACCATTGGGTGCAAATGATCAGGTGATGGCGGCCAGCCCTTCCAAGAAGAGATTGTTCATGTTTTGAAACTTTCCTAGTTGTTGGACAAATCGAAGCTGCTTGTAACATAGGAATGGACTAAGTTGGGCTTGAACTGAGAGTGTCGGAGGAAACAGAAACAACATGTCAGATTTGGACTAGGTTTAGACTGGACTGGCAAACGAGTGTCATTGCTGGAGGCCGAAGGGTAACAGACCAAGAAAAACAGAAAATGTTAGCTTTAGGACCCAATGTAGATTCATGTTCTTGGGCTTGTCTTGGGGTAGTGTGGGGAGATGATTTAAGCTCCACTTATAGGAACGTAATCAACCAGTAATATTGTTGTATTCGGTGGTTAAACACGTTTACCAAGCTGGAGTCTGCAATTTGGCTGGATGACTTGACCTCCTTAAATGACTTAACTATATCAGCACGATTCTCTCTGAACAAGCAACATATAAAAGTGTGAAACCTCCCCTTATCATCATCGAATCAAAGCATTTTCCATCAAGAAGACAACCATGCATTTGGAACCCATGGATATTGATAAATCTAACTTGGGGCCACCTCTGGTTTTCTTACTAGTTTCAAAGGAGAATGCTAACCGTTCATGATTAAAGCATCGACAAATCAGATAGACAAGCAAAAATATAAACTTATTAATGAAAGATATGATCAACAATCGTTGCGAAGACAGTAGGAAACGAAATTTATGCTCTTAGGGCAGGGAAAAAAAAGATATGGACTTAGCTTTTCTACTTATCTATCAATACAAACTTATGAACAGACTAAACCACTGTATGTATAGCCAAAAATTACAGAAGAATTTGAGCTGAGCAAAAAAAAGAAAATCGAATGAGCTTCGCTACCTCACTACAGGAGATTGTCGAGCTGTGCTTCCAGTTCTTGTATGCCCACCATGTTGATGGTGTTTTTTTCCTCTGGAGAATACTCTGCTTTTAAAAGGGAGTGAACTTGGATATGAGCTTCCACAATATTTGTCCTGCATAAATATAAGAATCATCTTATTCTGTTGTAAGATAAACTGCTAACTGTTAAAGAATCTGAATTATTCAAAATGCATCAAGATTGTTTCCTACATGCTGACAGATTAGAAAACTTAACATTAAAGAACACGGAAATCTTTGATTAGGTCATTCATAGTCCTAGACACACGACCATAAAGTTACAGTTTTGAATTTGAGATGGTATCTTACTTAATTGGTTTGAAAAGAATTGTTCTTGTCGATGGGTTCTGTAAATAAAGTTTCATCTTTGCTATCACCACCGGAAGTTCTTGCTGAATAGCTGAATTTACCTGTTAAAGACATGTAAATCATCAATTTGGCGAATCTAGACTTTTAAATTATCAACAGATTTGTTACTAAGTGTTGCAATTTTAATTCAAATAAGATAATCTTGTAAATTACACATCTTGATACACTCGATATATAGACATTTCCATATGCATGCAACAGTTGAATGAAAATATCTAACAAGATCAGCCTTCTCATATGATTACTATCTGCAGGTCAACAAAAAGGGTAACAAATAAGTAGTTCGAAAGAAAAAGAACTATCGGCATCAATAAAGAAATTCCGAGAGGATAGACTTATTCACTCAAGCTATATATCAGATGAAGGGGTCATGTGATTGTTAAGGTTGAGAAGCAACATGAAAGGATTACAGGCTAGAATTGCTCCTTAAAATCATATGTTTGGACTACAAAGGGTATTTAGAAGGATACACTGGCAAGGTATTACTATTAATGCTATCTTGGGGCAGATATATCCTTAATTCTTGTTTATACTTAAAATGTTTCAGTTTCCAATCTTCTCAGGAGTTATTGACCAGTCCACACTGAGAGTCGCTTCATGCTTGTAATAATTGGTATTCATGAAGTTAGGAGATATTTCCATCATGGCTTTCTTTTACATATACATAGAGATACATTACATATATACATAATGTTTGTATGTAAGCATATATGTTTCTAACAAAAAACAATGGCATTTCTCTACGCAGTATGGAAACCCAGCAAGGTTGAGAAAAATCTTCAAAAACCAATGCAAACTGTAACCACCAAATAGGCCAGAAAAACATGAATTAAATATGTGACACACCTTCTGGACAAGTTCAGCCACCATTTCTGGTTTAGCAAAGGCTTGTTCCTTGAGTGGCTTGGCCATAACTGAGTCAACTATTTGATTCTTAGTACCAGAAGATAGTGCAACTTTTACAGCAGTTACCTGCAGGAACAAAAATAAACCCTTAGACGACTAGTTAATGTCAAAGCTGAAAAAATCCATTACCATCAAAGTTTGCTTTGATTCAGGACAGAAGATGAATACAAGGTATCAGTTAATTATCACATAGCAAGTTGAAGTAAATACCCATATCCAAGCTGAAATTTCAGACATTTCAACTGGTGTTAATTACTTTTTTAAACAGTTCCAATCAAGGGGATCCGATCTTATTTCACTAGCAAGCAATATCTAATTTTTTCAGATTTTAATATCTTAAGTTGTGAAAAGACCAATAGAGGATAGAAAAGATGAACCTTGGTAACAAATGAAAGCATAGGATCCACAATTTGCTTAGTGACTGCCATAATAAATTCCTCACAAGTTGCTTTTAAGCTTTTCTCCAGTTCCTGCACGTAAAGGAACAGAAAACATATGTTATACTATTGATGGCAAAGCAAAATCCCAGCATCAAGCCTTGAGATTATCAGATAGCAAAATCAGAGCGGGGAAAGCAACAGTTGCTGAATGCTGAATGGCATTAATTCATGGTGACATATAACTCAAACAATGCCCAAGGCAAGAAGGATATTTCAAAAAAAAGAGGAAAAGGGGACAGGGGGTGATGGAGGTAGTATAGTAATTGCAGGACAACTTCACAAGAACATAGGTAATTTGCTAATAATCATTTGCTTCAGGGACAAAAGATTCAAAACATTATTTATTCATTTTAGTAACTTTTCACAAACTATGCAATTTCTTGTCTCCTAGCCCTAAGCATTGATGATTTGGTGGAAGAATATTTTCAGCAATAAATGCACCCAAAATGGCGCATGCCACTTTGACTTATCGAGGACTGTAAATAAATATATCAAAAGGAAAAATGCTAACCTTCTTGGCATCTACTTGACTTTCCAAAACACGGGGAGATAAGGTCCTCGCTAATGATGTTGATCTGGACCAGTCAAATAAGGAGGCCTGACCTCTAAGTATTCGTCTTAGGTGCTCCTGTCAAAGACATTTTAAAACAAAATGGCTTTAGTTTCATGTAAAAGAAAGATAAAATATGGAAAAAATTGTTGGTTGAACAATCTAAACATCAAAGACATCTTAAGAAAAGGAGTATTATAGTTCTTTTTCTTTGTCGAAAATCCAAACAAGCTTCTAGGATGCTAAAAGCTCGCAAAGATTGTAAACACCAAGCAGTGCATATCGGTTGAAAAGAAACTTAGCCTCAGAGAAACATACCAGCAAATGAGAGAAATCAAGTTCTTTGTATGTGACGGAGAATTCTATGTCAAATGGTGCTATCTGTAATGCCAAAACTCGTTAAAAGATATATATACCAAGTATTAATTATCAACAGGATGACCATAAAAAGAAAGCAAAAAAGAGGAATAAGAAAGATAACCTGTTCCCTTAATATCAGAAGATGCTTTATAAGGAAGAGCTGCCCATCCATTTGTGTTGATCTCTTTGCAATTAGTTTGCTTGCTTTCTATGTACAGTTGAAAGATTAAAGAGGCAAAAATGCAAATGGTTAGAAATCCAAGCATGCCCACACGTGCTTGAGAACATGCTAGAAGGAGAATAAGCCCGTCAACTTCTTCATAGAATGGATAACATGACTTTGTTAAAATCTAAATCCAAGCTTATCCTCATATAGAAATGGTATCATTGTATAGCATGAACATGCTTGGAAAAGCAAAGAACTTAAGGCCCTGAACAGTTTGATTAACCGTTGTTCAGCTAACTTACTTGGATTGAGACAGAACAAACTTCCACAGCTTCCTGAGAAAAACAGCGGAAATTAATCTTTTAACAGAATAAGCACAGAAGAGCAATATACTTTTAGAAATTCAGTAGACAAGAAACTGAACAAGGGTAATTATCCAAACATTCAAAGCACCTGTGCCAAGCCAGTGAAGACTGCTGGTTCCAAACAACGATACAATTTTGAAAGAATAGATATGGTTTTCTCCAATGGTGGATACCAAGTTTTGAATACATCTGGGTTTGCATCAGCCTGCAGTCCAAAAGAAAAAGTTAATGCAGATAGCAGTGTAAATTATGGTGTAATTATACTTCCAAAAAGGGAAAACAGAAAGCAACATTCAAGCAAACACGAGCAATGTGCTACTAATCTGGCCAACATCAATATCCAGATATGTCAAAACTGTAGTTTTTGACACTGCATACTTCACTAAATGTTTAAGGTAACATGTTTGCAAGTAGGTTTTTGATATGCATGTTTCCTAAACAACTGGGACAACCCATAGTCGGGATATGCACGTTAATACAACAGGGTGACAAATCCAATCCTGTTTAGCATGAGACACCCAATATATTAATTCTTCCTCTATATGTTCCACAAATATTTCTATATAGGAAAACTACTCATGCCAGACATGTGTATCTTGCACATGCTTCATCTCATTGCGGCAACTCTATGTATATTGTTCAGGTGTTGAGTAATCCAACAACCAAGTCTAAACACACACAAACATGTAAAACACCTAAGTCCAGGCCAAAAAGATGGAGAATAAATTAACACAAATTGTAGGAATCAAGTTAGGTCCTATAATAATGGTTACAAAGAGCATTCATATAAGGGTCAGAATTACAAACAATAACTTTGACTTGCAGGAAAAAGTAGCTTCCCAATTCGAAATTGTCCAACAAATATAAAGATTCACGACACATGATCAATTATCAATAGACTGGGTGAGGTGAAAAAGTGTTAAGAGAACTTACAGAAGCATTTTCTGACTTCACATCTGCAGAATGCTCCAGTTTTGCAGGGTAATCCAAGTCTTCATCAAATGGGATATAATTTGCAATCTGTGTAAGAAAGAAGACAATGATTCAAGTAAAATCAACATAAATGGGACAACAATAGGTTCAGTGCTGGGATGAGTGTCATTAACCCAGCCAAACATGCAATGAAACCATAAGAAAATTTCTCTTTCAATCTCAAACGATGGGCAACTAAAACAATTTGTTCTTCCAACACCATATTTCCAGTAAATTAACATCAATTTATCAGATAGGCAAACCAAGACTTCATTTCCCATCAACTACCACACAAAAGTAGTGAATAAAACTCCTATGCCTCTATAAGACAAAAGCTTGATATCTTCCTATTGATTAATGAGATGTACACAAACAGACATATACATACATGCACACATAAGCAAATATCAAACCTCATCACGGATATGTGTTCGAGCACGAAAAGTCAAGCGTTCATGGATGTCTGCCAAAATTCTTTCCAATGTAGGGCGTAACCCAGCCAATGACTCACTCCTTCTACTGAGCTGTTCTCCCAAGACTTCAACTTTGAGGATATCAACCAGCTCACAAAGAAAATCAACATTTGTTTCATAAATGAGTTTTGGCCGCAATGTGTCATACAAGTATGTAGACCTGAAATGAAATCCGACTTAGTAGTAACACATGCAAAAGAGTTATACTTAAGTCAAACTCTAGGATATTATTTTGACTAAATTCCAGAAAGCATCATTAAGCCACCTAGGAAGGAAACAAATTGAAAATATGAATAGAGAAAGGAAAGCTCTACAAGAGTACTTACAAAGGATCTATTAATGATGCCAAACTTGAAACATCCTCTGAAGAAGATGGGAAAAAATGATCAAAGAGTTGATGCTCAAGTTGACATACCTGGAGTCATGGCAATGTATAGGCCCAGTTACTAAAAGATAGTATATGTTTCTTCAAAACAATAGTCTATGTAGAAACTTAAAGAGTCGGTCTAGATTTTATCACTCTAAATGTCATCAAAGAAAATCAACAATGCAAAGAGTGCACAACTCAAATAACAAGCAAGTTTCACTTCACTTGACCAAAAGTTCCAAGAATCATAATCATATTCGGCTACTAAACATGAGGACAGTAAGTTCACTATACCTGCATTAGGTAAGCACATCCTGACCTAGTCAACGATGGCAAACCCTCTTTCTTTGCAAATTCAGATATTCGCTGATGCACTATGCCTTTTATCTAAAATAGCATATATTAACAGATACAGTAAGAACCAATTTGAATACTGAAATAAGTGGCGCATGTGCGTGTGTGGGTGTAACACAACATCCACTCACCAAAGAAAGCCTCTGTTCACAGTACAATTTATGGCATTCTGCAAGAATATGAACATATTCTTTCCTTGATGCTCTGCCTTCAATTTCCTCCAATACCGGCTTAAGCTGCAAATGCTTAAAACTGTCAGTTACCTCTGCTTAAGGGATTCTAATTGTAGTATACAGTCCCATTTCATATACAAGCAATCTTACTCTACTCACTATTACAATGGGCAAATAGTCATATTTCTATACATGTGACAGCTTTCAGACTAAAAAGGGAAATCATTACCTCACTAGCAGCTGCCTCAAAACGGACATAAATTACAGATGCCTCAACACCCTCAGAAAGAGATGCTTTGTTGCCACCACTGCTCCTAATTGCTGCCCCAACCTGATGAGGGAAAGAACAAGCATTTTGTGAGGCATTCAATCCGTCCATAAATGCGTAGCTATGGACATAACTTTCATCTACAGGTGGATATTTTACCTGAGAAGAAGCGCTTTTGAGAACAGAAAGTACATGGGAGCGAATCATACCCAGGGCCCGAGACTGTAAACAGGTTTCCAGGATTTTAGTCAAAACATCTATTTATATGCATGCATTTCATTCATTTAAAAAAAGCCCATACATTGTTATATCACTTCCTTACCTGGAGTTGACGGAATTTTAGCAAATAAACACTGGATTCTGCATATTGTGGATTATTTGCAACATACCTACAAGGACAAAAATTCAAATATGATAAGAAATTTGATTACATATGCTCATCAGAAGGACAATTATTACACAATTGTTAACTAGCTTGCACAGTTGAACTAAGTTCAAATGCAAACTTACGTTATGCACTCATCAAGCCGTTTAAGAAGTGGGAGAAAGTTTGCATTTCCAACGTTCATGTTTGGAGAATAAAAGTTAGAAGTAATCTGTACACAAGAGGTAAAATTAGACAATTTCAGAACTATTGCACTAACAACAATTCGTCAAGAAACTTAAATTAAACATAATCCTGAGAGATAATAGGACTAGCAAGCAAAGACAACGAAGTAACATATAAAGTAATCTGATCTCTAGTTAAGATAGCATTCAAACCTTACATTCTCCAACTCATCAAAATACTGGAGCTTACTGCGAAGTGCTTCAGCAAACTCAATCAGCCTTTGCTTCTCCATTACCTGAAATGAGAACAAACTAGTGAGGCAATTAATCAACCAACTTAAACCAAAATTTTCCATCACAACAAGAAGTGGATTACAGCTATTAAACGTAAAGCTGAAGTCAATAAGCTAGAAAGAAGGTGAAACTGAATTCCACACCATACAAACAAAAATCATACCAATCGATCACATGCATCATGAAGAGTTTTAGTTTTTGTTGCAACTGCTTGGTGTTGTAGTTGTAGTTCATTAAATAGGTCTAAGGTCTCATCCACCTGCAAAGAAATACACTTTTCAGCTTAAAACTCATGAGGAAAAGGTAGATATAACACAACAAATAACTAGAAAAGCAAATGACAATGCATGGAGATATCAAAAACAACAGTGTCATACTTGTCGAAGTATATCATCACAAGTCCGTATCTGGTCTGTTAGAGTATTCACATAGTGCTGATACTTCTCTTCTGTCTAAAGGAAGAGAACAATGAGATGCAATAAACAAATATCCAACAAAATTACTCCATCATCATACATGTTGCAACAAGAAATTGCTACTAACCTCCGACCTCATGGCCAATTCAAGATCTGTGAACCATTTATAAAACTGTACCAAAAAGAGTGGAAACAATAAAAAGAGCAAAAGCTTTAGATCCAAATTTCATCAATGTCATGAAACCCTAGTAGAACTAGATCATTCTCACCATCCAAAAATTTTAGATCTCCAATTCACACACAAAAAAAAAAAAAAAAAAAAACTGATTTACCTGATTTGTATTAACCAAAATTGCTTCAATAGCTTCAGAATCTCCGAAATTCTTATCCTTTGTAGAAACAGACAAGCCAGTATCTTGCCCTGAGGTTCGCTCTTGAGCCTACAATAGCACAATCCAAACATCTTTCACCAAAACATTCAGAATGCAATTAAAAAAAAAAAAAAGCTACCAACAAGCAACAGAGTTCCTCACCAAATTGGACGGAAACGGCCTTTCCGCAACTGCATGAGATAGCATCAGTATTGCCCCTTGCTGCTGCTCCGTCAAAGGCGCATTCTACGTAAAAAAAAAAAAAAATCCAAAAAAGAAATTAAAAATTAAACGAAAAAAAAATCTAAAATAGCGCTTTCAGATCAACTCCACAGATCCGATCTTCAAAATAAAAAGTTTTCGACTACTCGGATTATAATTAATAATATTATCATATTTCGATTACAATTACGGTTCCAGTGAAGAGATCGGATATTTTGATTACAAAATTTAAGGATGAAATGAGAGAGTTAAATCAAGATGCGGACAAATAAATTATTCGAATCAAATAGTTATAAGTTGAAGTCTTTAAGTTCATTGACATAAAATTATAGCAGATCTAAACTGAAAGAGGTTGAAATCTTGAAGTTGAAGGCGAACAATTATGTGTTCGAAGAGTTAAGTTAAGAAGAAAAAAGATAGAAAAGGAGAAAGAAACCTGTTCCCAAGTAGAAGCAAAGTTGTAGCCTTTGGAGATGGCTCCAGATTTGGGGAGGTTTGGAGGCGTTGCTGCTGGATTTGCAGCCATTCTCTCTGTTGGACCAGGCCTACCTTAGCTATTTGCTCGTTAAACGACGCCAGTAATTGAATCTAACGCCATTTTAAAGCATTTTCTGTTTTAATCATGATGTGGTGAAGCAAATGACTTATTTTACGACGTCGTATTTTAATCATGATGTGACATTTTCTTTTTTTCTCAAACGATAAAAATTACTGTAGCTTATTACTTAAAAGTCAAAAAATGTAAAATTTCAAATTAAACCTACAAATTTTCTCAACATGAGCAACTTTCATATGAAATTTTTTATTTTTTTTTCAAATTGGATGATCACTTAAAACTTTTACCCGTTATAAAGGATTTTTGTTTCCTTTCTGGTTTCTAATAGCAATTCTCTTTCATACTCAAGCTATCAATATGCACGATGGATGTGTTACCGATTGGGTAAATGGCTACAGCTAAGTTTAAAAATCAAGTCCATAAATCATTATTGTGTGGCTAGTGGCTAGCGGCTAATGGCCCAATGGAAAATTCTACGATTGATTTGGATATTCTTCCCCGAGAAAATTAAAAACTCAACTTGCATCAACAAACCCATGTGTTTATACAGGGCCTGGGTGCGGTTTTGGGAATTAACACCCCAGCAAGGAAGAGCATATCAACTTCATATGATTCATTAAATTTATCAAATTTCTATATGAAACTCACGTTTATTAATGAATTTTTATAAAAATTTTTATTTTGATCGAACACTTTTAAAATTATAATAAAAAATTTATTAATGAAATGCTCCTTGACACAGGAATCCCATCCCACTGGGCGCGAATTAAACGACATAAGAAGAAATTATTCATGTACGCACTAAAGTGATGAATTTATTATACACGAAACACACACAGCCAATGATGAAAATTTTTATGGCTGTAAAAGGAACTTTTTGCTGCTGATAACTAAAAAATTAACAGATGCATATATTGATGATAATACAATGTGGCAGCCATTTAAAAAATATGATTGGATGGAAGAAAGGAACAGTGGCAAAATTGAATTTAAAAAGAAGGGAAGAAAAAGGAGAGAATGGACAATGAACTTGGATCTTGACATATACAGGCAAAAGGATTCACAGTATCATTCAACAGAATTACCTCCTTGTGTACTATTTTCTTCACAAAGGCCTGTCTGCGACCCGCTATGAACAAGTGTTGGAGGAGACCACTGATCTGGCACCATCAGAAAATAAGCAGTCATAGCTTTTCTGAATCGTTTCTTGTACTGTTGGGGCGAGATCACGGTCGGAGACTCATTTTTAGGCCCACCAAGGATGCCTGAGGTCTTCACCCAAGTTTCAAGGTGCTTGTCCCATGTGTACTGCCTCATGAAATCAATTATTCCAAGAACAAGCTCATGTTTTTCCTCATCCACACCAACCAGTAATGAGTAGTCCATTACATCAATTAACTGTGGCAAAACGTATATATAATTAGAAAAATATACAGCAAGAGAAATAGGGATTCAACTATGACTACTTGATCAGATAAAAGAAAAGCACTGAGTAACAATCTAACCATTGGATCAATTCAATTAGCTCCTATGCATAGTAAATATAATGTTAGTTAGAAAAACCAAATTCTACACTGTCAGACAGCCTACATCCAACTACATTATCCACTATTTTTTGCTCAGCTCAGTTTGATAATTACCAAAATATATGCCACAGCACCAAAACTTAGATTTCCTTCCCAGGAGCTAGAAAATTTAAAAATATAAGGAAAATCTTCAAAATGGTATGTGCAGCCCCGAGACATCAAATGAGAAGCTAAATTCCAACTTACAGCAAGAAAGGAAGTGTCATTCCAGACAGCCCTCTCCAACAACCGCTTCGCCTTGCTTCCAACAAAAATTGGAGACGTGGGCATTGCTTCAATCAAATTCTGATCAAGAAGAACTTTGTTGCCGCCACTTGTATCAGGATTATACCTTGATCGGGAAGATCCTTTAAGGTCATAAAGCCTAATAACATTGTGCCTATAGAGAAGATTTTCCATCACCAAAACATCCATTTTTGATTCCTTCCCTCCTTTAAGGTGCTTTGATCAAACCTTCAAGAAAATGACACCAGAAGAAAAATTAAACCAAAATCAAGGTAAATTTATCACCCAAAAAAAGCCTAATTTTAGATTTGGAACTTGAATTCAGTAAAAACTACAACATAATGAAGCAGATAAACTCGAAATCTTCTCCAGGGAGATGCACTTAGGCTGCTAGTTTCTCAGGCTTTAAAACATCAGAATGTCAAGTCTGGAAACAGCAAACTTGGACAAAAATCTTAACCAAAGTGGCAGTTCACATTTAAATCAGCAAGGAGATGCACACACGCCAACACATATCCTTAAGATATCACATTCTGAAATGTGCTTTTAGCAAAATGAAAAAGGGAAGAATTGCCAGATGATTTAACATAATTGACAAGACAGGAAAAGCAACCAACACTGTAGGATAATAAAACGAAATTCTTAACAAGAATTAGTAGCCAAAACTTCACTCATGAAATTCAACTACTCTTCATACAGTTTAGTAATTTAAGCTATAACTAGATGTAATAAATAATACCTGATATATGCCCAAAATCTTTGCCAGGCAAGTTGGGCTTCGTGTACTGATTGAATTGGACAAATACTTGAAATAAGCTGGTCCAAAACTTGATAAATGATTCTAGTTCTATCTTTGTAACTTGTTTGATGATAAATCGATCATCTAAAGTCTTTGCAAAGAAGACATTGCTCTTCCCACCTTGGGCACCCCACTTCTTACAACGACTGAGAGACCACATAAAATCCAGCTCAGAAGGGCAGCAAGTCCTCCTCAAGCTCTCAAACCGCTTTGCATAATAACAGGTTACAGTGTACTTCACCTTCCCAAGGGGGCCATCATCTGTAAAAGAAACTCTAGCATGCAAATCCTTTGTGTACAATAGAAGGTCCGAAACGAGGGAGCTATGTGACCCAGACAAAGACAAGATACTCTCATCAACAGATCCAAAACTTCTGTAAGTATCAGATGATAAGTCATTAAAAGAATTAAGTGAGAGCAGATTCATCGAATCGAAAAGTGACAATGAAACTGCAGAATCCGCAACATCTTTTGGCCTCTCCAACTCAGACATCTGTGAATGATAATCTGATGAGACAAGTGCATATGCTATAATACTAGTGGGCTCATCATCATAAACAGGCACCACCGTGTTGTTAACACCAATAGGAAGCAGCAGCCTGGCACCACTTTGCCTTTCCAACTCCCTAAATGATGAGACATAGACTGGATTATACTCGCCAAAACTGAGCTTTTGAGCATTGAATGAAGAATTCTTGTTAAATGAGCTGTAGAATTTTGGAAATGGCATGCGTGTCCAGCTCATAGACTTCTCCATACATTCAAGTCCCTCAGTAGGCAAAGCAGACTGAGGTGAACGAGACACTTCCACTTCACCACAATCACTAGTACGACTTCCCAGATCTGAATTTACTGTAGTTGACAAATCAGCCACAACTGAATCAGGGACAGAGTAACCATTCTCCTCAGGAACTACGCTAACTGGATGACCTTCGCCAGTCCATGCTGCCTCAAGGGTGTCAGATAAATTTGCCATAACTGGAAATTCCCCTTCTGACAGAGCCCTTCGTACAACTTTTCCAGATTCCAGAGAATCTGATTTCTCACTGATATTTGCACTAGAAGAAAGAGAAGGTTCAGCCAACCTCCTGTTATTAAAGTCCCAGTCCATGCCCTTTTCCTTGAGATCTCCACCCGGTTTGCTAATTTCACCAGCATTGCCTCCTTGATTTATGTTTATATCATGCTTGGTCTCACCTAGGCCAGAGTCGTGACTACTCAAGGCTTTGCTTGGCTTTGGACTGACATTCATCTCAAGAACCTTCTCTACTGAACTTACAGGCTTCAATCCAAGCTTTGGGATGGAACTGCTCATAACTTCCTGGATATTATTGTTAATCAAATTATATGCATGTATCAGCCGTCGGTCCCAAACATAAGAAAGAAAGAGTATTTGCCTCCACAACTTATTGATCTCAAGAATGTCAATAACAGGTTGGCCAACTTTCACCTCCTTACAAAGCGCTTCCTGTGAAGATTCCTATGGAAAGAGTAAACAGATTAGAAACCAGACAGCACCTCAGGTCAATTTTATGCATTAAAAAGAAAACAAATTTAACAGGGTTAAACTGCTGGATAGGTTGGTTTATGCATTAATTAGGACAATCAGACAGCAATTGTTACTCATGAGGGATGGGGGGAGGGTGCAGATGATAATTTCAAACTGGTCACCTGAAATTCTTCTCTATCCTTTTGCAGCATTGATTCCAGTTCTTTGATACAGATTCTTCTTTCAGGTGCCTTTATGCCACCATCTTGGAACCCAGAACCTAATGATTTCTCTGAAATCTTTTGAAGAGAATCACACACTTCACTAAATAGGAATTCTGCCCTATGCCTCACCTGCAAAACAATATTAATGATATTTTAGGTGTCATTTGATTCAAGAATAGCTTTAGGAACAGGAACAAGGATTTATCATATTCAAACCTCATTTGCTTCACTTTGTATACACTCCTGATTATCATAATTAAATTCCAGTTTTGGAGGTGGAAGATAAACAGAATGAACACCTAGGGAAGCATATCGAAAACAAGCAACCATTCTCCCGAAACTGCACATGGTAAAACAGTAAAATCAGAGGATACCAACAGGCAACAGATATGCTTCATTTGATCATTTCTAAACACCTTTTTCCATTCTTAACAATCCACATTCCATACCACTAATTAACCCTGCCCTTTCCATCCCCTACATGGCCAATAACCCTCCTTATCCAGAAGGGAGTAGCTGGCTTGGAAATTGATTACTTCAAGGCAATTAGGCACTTTATCTTGGCACAACAACCACTTGGACAACTTCAGGTGGTTCCTAAACGTGGAAACCTCATACATATGTGTAAATGGTAAAATAGGTGTGTGCCCTCAGTACTGCTCAAGTACATGATGATATTGCTTTCATGATCACTCTTCTAGGACAGTAGAGTATACTGTGTACGAGTAGCAACAGGAAGG